GAGAACCAACCTAGGAGAAATTTCCTGACAGAACAATTAATCAGTGGAATGATTGGCTCCTGAAGATGCTCCACCAGAGGAGATTTGGACAATCATTTGCCTGAAATGATATGGGATTTCCCGATTGAGCAGGAGATTGGACCAAAAGACCTTCAAGGTCCCTTCCAATTCTGTTACTCTGTTGTTCTGTTAAAAGAGGACTATAAATAAAAATTTGGGTTCTGATCACCTCCTAATTTTTGTTGTTATTTTTAACTATTCTCTTCTTGTTTATTGATTGTACACTGCTCAGTATCACAACTGGCATCAGGAGGCCATGTAAATTTAATAAATAGTTTAAATTACTTGCAGCCTCCACTGTTAATACAGACTTATTTTACATTGATGAAATATAGACTTCATATTGTTCCCCCATGTTCTAGTTCGATGCATTTCAGTTATTTTAATTGAAACTGATGACAGTTTCATAAAATAAGCATAGGAGAAATAAGCATTTCCCATATTTCAATTTTAGTTTTGTAATGTTTTAAAATTAAAGTATAATCAATGCTTTTATGAGCTTCTATGGGCTATGAATGCTTCCTTAGAACTCATTCAATTTATGCACCGTAGCTTCTAGGTTTCAGGCATATTCAATTTACAAGTTTCCACATATCATTTTACAAAATGATTAAAAAATTCAATTTGTTTGCAATAAGGGAAATAGCATTTAAGTTAATCTATGGTTAAATGTTTAAAAATGTTAAAGGCAGTAAAATTTTTATTTTCCTGAAAGCCACTAAAATCTTAGTGATATAAATCATTTGTCATTTCTTGAAGGAAACCCAAAGTCGTTATTATGCTATTAAAATGTCTTGCAAAAGTACGATGTGTTTCCTTATTGGCAAAAAAAGGTTATTACTGCCATAAAATGCTGATTTGTAATTGCAGGCTAATTGTAAAAATGGGCAGGGTAATCAATAAAACAGCACACCATGTAACACTACTGAGATCATGATTTCTTTATCTTATTTTTTCCCCCTTTCCAACATGGAATTCTGTAAATTTGCACTCTAACTCTGAGAATCCCCAGCTTGCATTTTACTCACAGACTAATTGGAAACCAGAGCAGATTGCTCTCAGTTTCTCAACCTTAGCAACTTTAAGATGGGTGGACTTCAATTCCCAGAATTCCCTTGCCAACATGGATATCCAACTTTTACTGAGTTCAGGAATGGCATTTAATGCATTTAGCAAAGAAGAGATTGTCTATGTTGGGTCTGTTGTCAAATTTCTGATTCCATTAAGAGATTAATATCTGCTTTGTCACAAATCTGCTTCTTTGTGATGACCTTTTTCATTACAGCTGTCTTATACTAGCCCTTCACCATGTAGAGTCTTCCAACTGCCTGTTGTGGTCCGCTGGCAGCTGGTGCGGACGGCAGAGATATTAGACAGTGAGGATGAAAGGGAGGACAGTGAGGGCAGTCAGGGTGTCTGTTGAGGACTTGGGCGAGGGTCCTGCATTTGATGCAGGGATGGGGCCAGGACTATCTGAGAGTGGGGTGCTGCCTTTGGAGCCTTTGGAGTCTTGCAGCAGCGAAGCAGAGGGCCCCAGGGAGCCTGTTCCCTGTGCGCATGTGCACAGGGCTGCTAGAAGGAGAGAGCAGCTGAAGCAGCATGGGCGACTCGGGAGTAAGGCTGGGAGGTGATTGTCCCTCCCATAAGGGATAAAAGCCAGTCCTCAGTGATGTGCTCTTTGCAGGAAGCAACGAAATTCATTAGATTCTGATTCCTCATGTGAACCTTGGTTTGTCTTTGCTGGAACTTCTGTTGGTTTATCTAATTAAGTGGACATCTGTTTCTTGTCAGCCTTTTACAACCCTGAAAGGCATGCTCTTATCTTAGACAATTGTGTTTAATGAGGTTTGACTGGGAATGCAAATAATTCCCAGCATCGCATTAAAAAAAGGTTTGCTTTTACACACAGCGTGTCTTAATTTGAACAAAGACTGGGTCAGAACACTATTATGGTACCAAACTAATAATAACAATGCAGGAAGGCCTTATGCCATTTTAATTGTGGCCTGGTGTTATAATGCTGTTATAAGAGCAGAAATGACCCTAATATAATTATAATTTTTTTAAAAAAATCTATAAATTATTCAGAATGTAGTTTCGATAAACATTTAAATGTTTGGTTGCAATTCTTAGTCAAGTTTTCTAGTTTCACAGATGAAAAGATCTAAAAATATCAAAGTGAACTTTGCTAGATTTCTCACACTGGTTGGTTAAAAAATAAGTTCACTGAAAAGTATTATTTTGTTCCGCTTGCAGATGCAAAATGAAGTATCAGTCTAGCCTATGCTGAATCACTGCTTATTTGAGGATAACGGTTGGACTGAATTTCTTATGAGACATTCTATGTTCCATGTTTGTAAAAGGAAAGTCTGATATAACGGTGCCAAAATTAATAAGAGAAAAGTGCTAAGATTCATACCGGTGGGTAAAATAGTTTCCCTACTGTTTGCGTAGACTATACTGAACGAAATCCTGTCAGTGATTTGGCAGTGATCTGTAATCTTAGGTGAAACCATGAGGTTTGTGCAGAAGCTGTTCACGTTCTGTAAATGACAAAGAGGTCCTGTGGAACAGAAAAGAAGACAGAACAATCTAGCAATTCTACACTGTCCAAACATGTGCCACTGCTCATTTGGGAAAACAAAGTGAGGAAAGTTCAAACAGAACTTCTTGTTCCATGTTCTGTTCTGATGCAGAACGTCCTGGCCTGGTTTTCCCAATCTCGTTGTCTCCAGATATGGTGGGACTCTAATTCCCCAAAACTCCCAGCTAAACTTTGGCTATATTAATTGAGAAATCTGAGATTTGTAGCTCCCACATATTTCATCCAAATATTTTGATCTGGGACACAGATGTACCATTAAAAAGCCTCAAGGCCACAATACGCATCCAGCTCTGTCATAAGCTAATGCTTGCATAACAACTTTTACTTTATATTATAGGAATAATATAAAGCTAGGTTTTAGCAAAGGAACATTGTGGTAAGACTCACATTTTAATACAGAAGATTCTTAAAGTGAATATAAAAATTCAATCAGAGACTTTCGGATTTTATGGACAAAGAACTTGAAAAATAAAATCTGGGACCTTGTTACATATGTTGACAGCAACAAGAATGCTTCATGCACAAAAATGGAAAGGTATTTTAATTTCCACAATGGATGAATGGCTGGAAAAAGTGGCAGAACTAACAGAGATGACTAAATTAACTGCTCTAATAAAGAAAGAACATATCCAACTTAGTTTCTACTTGGAAACTGCTTCTGGATGTTGTGCTTGAGATGAAAAAGAAATGAAACTTTGACTTTGGGTTTTGCTGATAAGTTTGTTGTTGTAGAAATGGCTAATCCATATTAAGTATGTAAAAGTATGCAAAAGTCAAGGCTGTAATTTTGTTTTTGTTTTTTTTATTATGCTAAAAAAGACTCGAAAGTCAATGCTTTTTTTTCTTTTTTCCCCTTTGCCCTACAATTCTTTCTCTCCCCCTTTTCCTCCCGTTTCCCCACTACTTTATTTTCATTTGAACTTTATATTTTGATAAGCTTAATAAAAATATTTTTAAAAATATAAAGCTAAATTTTGATTAGAAATTGCTGAGTGGTTTCTCTTCTGTCAGTTTTCAGAAGCCTTTCTCCACTGGTAGATCAGACTCGGCTTTTATTGTTGTTGTTTTAAGGTGATAGTACAATCACAATAAGATTCTATTATAGAATTCTTACTCAGAAATAAAGTTGGGCGGGCTCTAGATGTTGTTTCAAATGTGACTTCCCTGGCATATTTAATAAATCTAAACCAACATAAAATGTTAATCTATCAGTGAAACAAACACAAAAAAACATAAACAGTGTTGTAATTTTTGGCATTATTGATGGCAATAGATTTGAAGACATGCGGGGGGGGGGGATAAATTAGGGGTATGGAGTTACAGTGCTTAAAAATCCAGTTACTAAGGAGTTCTGTCTCTTTAAGAATGATTCAGCTAAACGGAGGAAAAAAGAACAGGTCAAAAAGGGATTCTGGACTCAGATGGAATTTCTGCAAGTCAAGGAGTTCCAATAACATTCAGAGTCCACTCCTATCTTGAGCAATACTGCAATTTCCCCCAGGCAGCTTGTTTGAGCAATTGGAAGAGGATAAGAACTGGATGTGGGTTCCAAAACCAACAAGATTTGAGGTACCTGGGGAGCAGAACACAAGAGTTGGGAAACCTCTGTTTGGCTTTCTCTTAATTGATAAAGCTCCTTAGGTCATCTAGAAGAGCCATATTTTCTCTTTGCACCCTTCAATACGGGAATAAAAATATTGACCTACCCTCCAGCATAGCTGTAAAAGTTAATGAGGACTGTACTTATTAAAAAAAAATATTTAAGTTTGTTTCACAGTCAGGGAGATGTTTAGACCGGATGTGACATTTTTATTCACTATTGGGTCCTTCTAAAGGACCTGGGACAGGCAAAGGTGGTTTGATGGTTTTAAAGATATTGTTGCAAGATTTTAGCTGTATCAAGTAAAGCTGCCTTTTGCAATTGACTAGTGGCAATTTTGTCAATGCTGATGGTGTTCATATGGTGCTCCAGATGTTTCAGGATTGCACGCAGAGTGCCTGTTACTATTGCTACCACCTTTGCTTTCTTTTGCCACAGCAAAAGCTAAGCTAATGGACCAAGTTGTGATAGGAGCTTCTGTTCTGTGTAATGTTTTGTCCCTGCAAGGTGTCCTCTGTCTCTTTATTATTAGTTTCCTGAGGCAAATACTTCTGAAGACAAAGACATAAGAAACACGCAGGCGCATGTATACATATTAGCATATAGGTGTGTGTTTCTGTGAGGTTTGAATAATGTACTTTTCCTGGGGTGCTGTTTTGCATCACGTTCATACTGGAGCGTGCTCTTTTATTTGCTACTAAACCAACAATTTTTGTTTTTGGTTTATATACTCAGAACCTCCAAAGGTCAACCAATGTGGTGTACCAAGCCCATCATGTTAGCAGAAACAAGAGAGGACAAGTTTTGGGCACAAAAGGTGGATTTCGTGGCTGCACAGTATGGCTAACAGGTATTGTGCTCTCTTCTAGCTCAGGAAATTAATACCTGGGGAAGGCTCATATTATTTCTATTGCATTAGAGAGAAAAAATAAGGCTGCCAAATGGACCTGCAGGAATCCAGGTGACTGCTAGAGGACTTTCTGGATCTGTTGGCTGCCACCTAATGGTTTTATCTAGATTTTGGCTGCTCAAAAGTAGACGTTATAATAAGATGCAAAGTTCATAAATGCATAACCTGGTAACTCTGTGGAATGTATTGACAAATTAACATAAGGTGGATTGTGTGCGATTTATGTGATAAACGTAAATTCTTTTCAGTTCTGAAAAGGATGTGCTTAACATCTTTTAAAATATGAAATGCTGTGACTTGTACTTGACCTTCCAGGAGGTATAAAACATTTTGAAAGCTTTAATAAGTCTAGTGTATGCGTCATTTATTTATTTTACCAAAATGTAAAGCTACAAAGAGATCTTAGAAAAGTATTTAATAAAACTGAAGGACCAAAGGAATGTATATGCTCCTTTGTTTTTGATTAATTAGGTAACCTGGCTGCAAAGAATAAAAAAAGATTAATACATTCTTCATAGTTTGAAATTTTATTTATATGGTATACTTGTGAATTTAGGAAAAGCAGGGCTGAACCACCACAGTTTTAAAAAAAATGTTTACCTATGATTAACAGGTCTTTCTGGTGCTGGTAAGACAACCATTGGGTTTGCCCTTGAGGAATACCTCGTGTCTCATGGCATCCCTTGCTACTCTCTTGATGGGGACAACATTCGTCATGGTCTCAACAAGAATCTAGGTTTCTCTGCTGATGACCGAGAAGAAAATATCCGCCGTATTGCTGAAGTTGCCAAACTATTTGCAGATGCTGGCTTAGTTTGCATTACTAGTTTCATTTCTCCTTTTTCAAAGGTAAATCTGTCTGGAAAATTATTCTGTCCTTTAAAAAAATGTTTTATTTGTTATGCGGCACACATCTTCTTGTAAAACTTTTTGTCTTTGGGAATGTAACATCCTGATGTGTGCTTCTTTCTAATATCTTTAAATCCAGCTTTCACCAGTAGAAAACTATCCCAAGACACTGGATTTCACATGTTTCATTTAGCTCAATCAAAATTTTACTTATGGGAATTTGATACCATTTCAGTCTTTCTTTCTCTCTGGCTCAAGCCATATGTTTTTTTAAAAAAAGGATCAGTAGAATTGGAATGTGTGTGTGAAACGAAGACTCTAGGCCTTGTAACCCAACCTTTATCTATTTTGCCGATAAATACGGGTAAAACTCAGTATATGTGCGAGAGAGACAAAGTCAGAAACAGAAAAAAGAAAACACTTTGACTATCCTGTTTCGTATTTCTGTATTTGTGTAGATCTCTTCATATTTACGCAATAGAAGAGGAATAGTGAGTTACCTACATTACTGATCATTATTTTGTTCCTTTTTACAGGACCGTGAGAATGCACGGAAGATTCATGAGATAGCTGGGCTACCTTTCTTTGAAGTTTTTGTGGACGCACCTCTCAATATCTGTGAAAGTAGGGACGTGAAAGGCCTATACAAAAAAGCACGAGCTGGAGAAATCAAAGGTTTGATCCTCTCATCCTGGCTGCAATATGCACTATCTACATAATCTCCCTTCTTTTACACCCCTGCTCCTAAATGCAATGTCCTAATGCATCAGAACTCTGTGAATTCTTGTATTGCTCATGTCATTCGACTTGAATGATGGGATTGGGTAATGACTACGTAGCTGAGCAAGTTTCTGGTTCAGGTGAGAAGGGAGGCTCCAACAGGTAGCTATAAATCTATATTAGCTAGGGGAAAAATATTGGGAAGTCCCTGATGAGATTTTGAAAGCAGTTGATACAGAAGACAGAAAAGCCATTTTTCCTATGATTGTCCTGTTTAATCTTTGACTTGAAGTTTGAACATAACTTTATTGTCTTACACCAATGAATATCCGACTCTTTTCTAGGATTCACTGGAATCGATTCAGAGTATGAGAAACCAGAAATGCCTGAACTTGTGCTGAAAACCAACATTTTTTCAGTGACTGAATGCATCCAGACTATTGTGGAGCTCCTGCAAGAGCAGGTATCATATGCTGGTTTGCAATAACAAACCCTAATCTACCCCCCCACCCCACCCCCCAAAAATACTATTTTCACTTTTTCCAGGTCTGTGCTTAACCAATCCATGTTTCACAAGGGGGAATTTATTGCTTATGTTTTTCTTTCTCTCCTAGAACCTTGTTCCTTCCACTGCAATTAAAGATGTGCTTGAGCTGTTTGTGCCTGAAAATAAAGTGGAACAAACTTGGGCTAAAGCTGGTACTTTGCCATCTATAAACATTACCAAGGTAAGAAATAAAGAACAGTGTGATTCTGATAGAGGAAAACCCTCCACTTAACTATCTAAACAGGGAAGGGGGACTTTGTCCTATGTGTTCTTAGATTTAAGCAAACTACTTTCCCATATTTGCCATCTTCAAAGTATTAAGGATGAGCAGAGTAAGGGAAATATCCTTTTGTGGGGGCTTTTCTAGTGGGAAGCAGATTTCTGCTTCAAATTTCAATTTTTAAAAAAACTTTTTTTCATTTTAAAAATCCAGATAAAAAGGGTGAAAGATGGAAGGAAAGGCTAAGGGCTGTTTTTTGGTTTAGAGGCAATGTTATATGAGCATACCAGGCATTTTTAGAAGAAAATTAATATACAAGGTTTCTTTCCCTTTGCACATCTTAAACGTGAAAGGTATCTTGGTGTGTGTGTGTGTGTGTGTGTGTGTGAGAGAGAGAGAGAGAGAGAAATATACATTGTATATTTAAGAGAATACTATTCTTTGGTCCTGCTGGCCTTCAAGGCACTATAGATCTCCTGTAAATAAAGTGCCACGGTTTTGCAGAATTCTGTTATAATCTTTATCAGGCTCTTGAAAGCTGCCTCAAACAACAAAATGAATTATTTTACCATAAGCAAGATGCTCACTGTGTTACTGAGATTAAAAGGAGAAGAGTATTTATTTATTTATATTGTATCTTCATTATTTTTATAAATTACTGGAGATAGCAAACATATACAAGGCTTCTTCCTCCTCTTTTCCTCACAACAACAGTCCTGTGAGGTGGATTGGGCAGAGAGAGAGTGACTGATCCAAGGTTACTCAGGTAGCCTTCATGACTAAGGCAGGATTAGAACTCAGAGTTTCCTGGTTTCTAAACCAGCCCCTAATAAGAATTTCAGCAACTGAATTAATAGTGTCCTGATACATTAGGACTGAGTCTTCAAATATTTTCCTGTGAATAAGGAATAACTTTCCGAAGTGGTAGGTACATTATATCCATGCTCGTTTTTGAAAGAAATACTTCTGATTTTATCTAAGTGATCCTAATTGAGAGCATTCTGATAGCTAATGAGGAAATTATTTTCAAAGTGTTGTATTGAAATGCTGAAAACGGCACTCCTGTCAAGTAAGAGCAATAAACTAGTGCAACGCCTTGCCTTCACTAGTTGTGGGTGCTCCATCACTGGAAAGTTTCAAAGAAGAGATTGGACAGCCATTTGTCCACTGCCTGAGCAAGGGGTTGGACTAGAGGACCTCCAAGGCCCTTTCCAATTCTGTTGTTCTGTTAATTCCTTATTTTCATGTGCATATGTCATGTGCTGTGCTGTCTTTATTTTCCAGTTGGATCTACAGTGGGTTCAAGTCCTAAGTGAAGGTTGGGCCACTCCACTCAAAGGGTTTATGCGGGAGAAAGAATATTTGCAAGTTATCCATTTTGGCACTTTGCTTGATGGTATGATATACTAATTCATAAGCATTATCCTTAGGCATTCTTTTGGGAAAAAATATTTGAAAAGAACCAAATTCTCATTAAGAATATTCTTTGATTCGTGTGTAATGAAATTAGTACCTTTTTCTTTTCTTTTGAGGCCAGTAATTATAATAAACTAGAAAAAAAATGCTGATCATAGACAGGTAAATTGCCAGATCAGATCAAGTCAAATCCTAGATCATGTGTACACCCAAGTCAATAAATCTTGGATTCACTCTGGTCCTAAAGGCCACGAAATAATTTTACTGGCTGTAGGGCTATCTAGATTCAAATTGCTCCTTTTTCGTGAATCTCCTTGAATGATCTTAGACGGCTTAGTGAGCATAATGAACAGCTGTCAAGAACTAATAAAGCAATAAAAAGAATTTTAAAGATGAACTGAAAACAGTTTAATAGATATGTGAAATATTTTACTGAACAAGCACATTGCTGAAGCTTTGTTTCCCTCTGTCATATTTCTCCTGTGTACCATAGGTGAAAATGAATGATATGCAAAAACTGTATAAGGACCAGATACTTCTTATTTATACCACCTTTAATTTTGTGGAAATTGGCATCTACTTTAAGTAAGATCTTGACTACATCCTAGTTTGCTAGGTTGTAGGTAAGATCCAGTTTTACTAAGCTGGGAAGATGCATAATGTTTCAACTTTACTTATCTTACAATGGTCCTTACGGAAATCAAAGGGAAAATCCCAGAGTCTTCACTCAAATGTAGCTTCTTGCAGTCCATATTCTCAACTTCATCAGAGGACTGCTTCAGTTGGCCACATGCATGATACAACATTGATATGTTGGCTACTTACATCTACACATGGACCCATTTACCTGTGGATCCATCTTTGTAGATTGGTCCTCATCATGCGATCTTGAAAACCATGTTTAGACTTTAAGTGTCATCTTGATATTTTGAAAGCTCTTTGTGATTGAGAAAGAAAGCAATTAAAATATGATTGTTATTTATCTTTATATTTTGCCAGGAGTGGGTAAAATTAATATATTCAAGCTTGGTATGTATTCAGTTGTTTTTGCTATGCTATGAAAATAATTTGAAAAGATTAATTGACAGATTTCCTGAAATGAAATTTTGATGTAGAAGTCCAGAATCATAATAAGTTGTATTCATGATCCAACCAGTTACACTGTGCTTTTCCAACATTTTAATTGGCTTGCAAAGGGGCAACTCTTAATTTTCATTCTCTTTCTTCTCCTGCTTCTTGCCTTCTTCTTCAATAGTTTGGGTACACACAACTTAACAAACACTGACCCAAGGCGGCTTACCAGTCATAGCCTGAAGTCTATTATCTTGTGATCATCACCACCTTCTTTCTAGAATTTTACATCCTAACACAGCGTTCCCCATTGTGATATTCTAGGGAGCAGACATTTAGTTATTAGGAGAAGATTTCTAAGAGAGATAGCAAGAATGAGAAGTCTCAAAAAGTTTCCATAGCTGACTCAGAAGAATGTTCTAGGGTCGAGGGTTACACACTTGAAAGACTTTCTGCATATCACATCTGACATCAGTAAGATGACTTAGTGAATTATCAATTACAAATATATTAATCACCTTTTAAAACCCAGTTTTATGGAAACAAATACACGACAACCCAGTCTTTGTGAATTTCTCTCCAAAATGTGTTTGTAAAAAAAAAACATAAGAGTATGCCGTTGGAAGAGTTAAACAAAGAAAAGTACATCTGGTTGAATCATAGTATAAATATAACCACTTCTGAAAACTTTCTGGTTGTGCATGGATGCAGTATGATCTGTAGATAATGACATTTAACCCAAGGACCATAGAGTCTGTGTTGTGGCTTGGATTCAAAGGTGCCCATCATCAGCAGGGGGTTGGACTAGTTGACCTCCAAGGTCCCTTCCAACTCTTGTTATTCTATGTCTATGAAGCCAGGAAGGAATTTTTCCATTAGACTTTAGAAACCCAAAAAAGTTAGCCATCATCCAGAGACATTTTTCCATTTATGGTTCTTTGTTCTGGGTGAAACTATTTTAATATCCTTTGCACATGTACAGAGCAAACCCGTTTTACAAAGTACCCAAGCTGTATCTGAATTAACATTTGCATATTGTTAGAATGTAAAGTTTCCCAGAAGCAAATGCTTGTAGTCAACTACTTTCAGAAGCCCCAATTTACATTTCAGAGTTTACAGCGATATTTTTTGTTCCTTTTGCACTGGCCTGTATAGAGCAATATTTTCAGACACTATGCACCATTGGATGTAATAGTGTGGAGGCCTTTCCTATTTTTAAAAAAAGCATCCCAAACTGTAATAAGATCTTGATACTTCAAGACAGCATGAGAGAAAACCAAAGTCTCACATGATCCTATGGAAGTGGTCTTTTTTTTAGAAAAAATGAGTGGATGGATAGTGTTCTGTGGATGCCATCTAGTGGCATCACAGAGCTCTAGTTGCACATTCCCAGCTCCTGTCTGAAACTGAGATTGAAAAGCTGCAAGGAAGGTTTCTACATCCTCAACGTACGACCACAATTTGAGCCCAACTTTTATGTGGCTAAGTGAGACATTTGTTAAGTGAATTTTACCCCATTTTATGACCTTTCTTGCCACAGTTGTTACGCTAATCACTGCCGTTGTTGAAGCTAGTAACACGGTTGTTAAGTGAATCTGGCTTGACTTTGCTTGTCAGAAGGTTGCAAAAGATGATCACATGACCCTGAGACACTGCAACCATCGTAAAGATGAGTCAGTTGCCAAGTGGCCAAATTTTGATCACGTGACCATGGTACAGCAATCGTAAGTATGTAAAACAGTCAAAAGCCACTTTTTTCAGTGTTGTCATAACTTTGAATGGTCTCTAAGTGACCATTACCATTACCTGAGTACAGGTAGTCCTTGACTAGCTGTATTTGTTTTCCATTCCAGTTATTTTGGAGAATGTTTTTCCATATGGAAATGTACACACACAAACACACACACACACACACACACCACCGGCACGGCATAAATAAAAAATTATTTTGCCTACAACGATGCAGCTTTATTCTTTAATGCTTGCTTTGTCACATGTAACCCTAAGCTTGGGAGGACAGTGTGATGAGGTAAAAGCAATTCACTTGAATATCTTTGGATCCAACCCATGCTCAGTATAATCAGAATTATTTCAGAGAAAGCGAGAATGGTCACAGCATCCAATAATTTTGAAATCAAATTCAATGGCTAAATAAGCTTCATTTCTAATTTGTTAATTGATTCTATTTCATGAACCGAGAACTTGAAATACAATGTATTATATTTGTAATTCAGAGGGCCTTTCCCCCTTCCTTCCTTCCCTCCCTCCTTTAAACAGCAGTCATGTAATGGCAAAGTTCTTGATAATAAGCAAAACTGAAGCTGAGTGTATAATTTGGACTTCAAAAAAAGGATATTTCAACAGAACCAGATGTCAGGAAGCTCTAGATATAACTTCAACAAGGCATTTGAAAAGTATATAATTAGCCCGCTAGTTAAGCACAGCTGGTTGACATAACAACTACAACCCCTCATTGATGATTTCTTTTCAAACAGGAAGTGTGATGCACTCTCACAATTTGTGCTAATCAGTTGTTTTTTTATTAAGGAATGGTGGACGAACCAAAGGGGAATATTGTCAAACTTGCAGATGACATAAAGTTAGGTGGGGTTAACTAGAAGACAGAAATGACATTCAAAATCATCTTCATAGGTTAGAGCAGTAGGCAGAAAATAACAGAAGTAAATTTTACAGAGACAAATGCAAAGTCACACATTTAGGAAACTGAAACAAAATGCCCCCGTATAAAACGAGTATCCAGCTTGGTAAAAACAGTATGAAAAAGAATTGGACGACATGGTTGATTGATTACAAAGGAACATTAGTCAATAGTGGTGCGTTGGCCTAGAGATGGAACTCTTACCCCAAACCAGGAGGCTATGAGTTTGATACTAGGTAGAGGCAGATATTTCTCTGGGCACACTGAGAATTTATCTGCTGAACAAAACTCCTCATTGGCATCAGGAAGGGCATCCGGCCATTTAAAACATTCTGCTAGCTCAATTCAGTTGCCTAGATTGCACCCCGCAAGGGATTATGGGGTTGTTAAAAGAAGATGATTAGTCAATAGTGTTGCAAAAAACACTATGGCTGCAAAAAAGGTATATGTGGTTTTAAGCTCCAGTTTATTTTATTTGTTTATGGAATTTATTTGCCGCTCGTCTCATATCCAACAACCCTGGGCAACTTCATTTATTATTTATTGGCCATTAAGTAATGTATCTAGTAAGATTATTTTATTTTATTTTATTCTCAGCCTCCTTTGCAGCTCTTACCTATAGACTCTGAGCAACTTACAAAAATCACAATTTATTAATAAATTAATCTATTAACAATACTATTGTTAAGATTAAAAATAAAATAAATGAAAAACAGCAATATTCCAACGGCAGTAGTCGTTCCTCTGGACAATTTAAAAAGGATTCATACACATTGTAAAAGTTCAGAGAAGGATAACAAAGAGGTGGGTGATCCAATGGGAGTTTTTTTTAAAAAATGTTATAGGGTTTCCTGTTTGAGTGGGGGAGGGGGGTAGACTAGAAGACCTCCAAGGTCCCTTCCAACTCTGTTATTCTGTTAATCTGGGAACTAGAAAGCAATTTCTGTAAAGATAGATTGAAGCACATGGGCTAGTTTCACCTTAAGAAGTAAGTGCTCTCTACAAACGCTTCCAAAAGAAAAAGGTCGGCACTATTCTCTCTTCTTCTGGAGCTCAGGAGTAAAAAAAAAAGGTGTGGGATTTAAGTTATGGGGAGGCAGAGTTTCTAATTGTTAGGAGCATTTGATAGTAGACTGAGTTACTCAATGAAATAGCAAGATTCCCTTCATTGCATGCATCCAGACAGAGGCTTGATAGCAAGGGGCTGAAGTGAATGACTTAAACTAAAGAAGGACATTTGAAGAACCAAACAAAAAGGAAGAAAAAAAATGTAATTCCCGATGTTCTGAGGCAAACAAATAGATAGGATAAGCCCCAAAGGACAAGAAGTGATGTCACGACACTATTGCACAACTTAACATTGCACAGCTGTGTCAGTAATTTATGTCTGATGAGGCGGAGTAATCTGTTGCATTGTGGAAATGAGCTTGTGAAAAGCTAAACCTAAAAAGATTTTGTGTCCTATAGTATTAAATGAGAAGCATGGAAATGGTGGAGAAAGTAAGCAGTGAACGGTGAAGGACTCTAATATCAAAAATGAAGGCCATATTGGAGCTTTAAATAAGAACTGTGGAAATGCTTTTTGCCTTCTCTTTAGAACTGAGTGAGCATTCCTATACACTTTTGGTTTTGTCCATTTTGTTAGATTTATATTGTAGGTTATCCTAGGAAGTTCATGAATTGGACGGTAGAATGTTAATTGTTTGATTCCAGCAGTGATTTAGGAAAAAAATACTATATTGAGAACTGACCTTCACAACCAACTAAAATTGAGGAAATGATTCAACAGGAGTCTGTTCAAAAAAGGAGAAGAAAGAGCAATTCCTAGTATTAAAGACAAGCAGATCAGAAAGAACACAAATATAACATATACAATTAAATGAGAGAGGCCAGCTATTAGAACCAAATCTAAATGATGTGATTGATCTTCAGTCTGAGATTCATAATTACTACTAGATATTTAGCTTTACAAAGCATACCGAGTGGATAATGCCCTTCAAGTGAAATTATTGTATTAAAACTTGAATGGTTTTCCTTCAAAATATTTATACAGAGGATATTTTGTGAAAGAGGAAGAAACATTTTTTATTTGGAAGTTTTGCTCTATGTGTCCTACATACATCTTGAGATCCTCAATTTCTCATAGAAAACAGAAAACTATGCTACTAAATATAAGAATATTAGAGATAGTTTGCAAGTGTTGTGTTAGAAAATAAAGAGATAATTACAAAAATCAAGTGTTTAACCGTTCAGAGAGCCTACCGTTAGGAATCTCCTTTTCTAGGGATTTCAAATAAAACATAGCCAATTACCCCCTTTTTTAAAAATTAATTTTAAATTAATTGATTGCATTTATTTATTTTCACACAGATGGAGTTATTAACCTGAGCATACCAATTGTACTTCCAATCTCTACTGAAGACAAAAAACGTCTGGAAGGATGCAGCGCATTCACTCTGGAGTACAATGGGCGGAGGGTGGCAATCCTTAAAAATCCAGAATTTTTTGAACACAGGAAGGAAGAGCGCTGTGCTCGTGTTTGGGGAACCACCTGCGCAAAGCACCCACATGTAAAAGTAAGCACAAATTGGTTCCATATTTTTTTTTCTTTTGCCTCCAGAAATATAAATAAATTATCTCATTCAGTGGCATCTTGATGGACTGGATCAAGATGGCAGTCACAGCCACCTGATTGAAGCCCCGTCCCTTTTCACAGGCAAGAGAAGGCTTTGGGCCATTACAGCAGCCTATCTGAAAGGTTAAATCATGGCAACGGGGCTAAAATGTGTTAATCTGAGACGTTTCGTTGCTCATCCAAGCAATTTAAGCAGTCAAAATAAATACAAATAAAAAAAATAAAAAATTAGATAGACAGAGAGAAACCTCTGAAGTTGGCATCGCAAGAGTTGGGACATTCCAACGATTCTCTGACTATCTAATTTTTTATTTTGTCTGATGAAGTTGCTTGGATGAGCAACAAAATGTCTCAGATTAACAAATTTTGGCCAGTTGCCGTGATTAAACCATTTAGACATTCTTGGCCTGGATGATTGAGTCTTCATCGACACATTAAAGCGGCCCTTAATTTTATGACAGTATCTCGGGTTGTTGATACCTTCAGTGCATGATGATATTTTTCACTACTCTCTATTGTTACTGACCGTAGTCAATATGAATGAAGACTAAATCCTTACTGGGAAAAATTTGAAATACTAAGAACTGGCTACAGGAATGTACTCCAAACCATGGAATGTACTGTCCCCTGATTATTTTTCTGCTTTTAGACAGAATGTCACTATCTAACCTGGCTAGCTTGTTCAGAGCTTCATCTATTTAAAGCTGGGGTGTCAAACTCAAGGCGCGTAGGCCAAATGCAGCCCGTGGGGTGCTTAGATCTGGCCCGCAGAGCCGGCCTGGAAATAGCAAAGGACCGGCCCGTGGTCCCTCTGCTAGCAAAAATGGGCTGCGTTCCCTCCCCCCCTCCCGTGGCCCCTTTTGGCTGGCAGGATGCTGCAGAAGGCTGTCCTTGCAGTCTCCTCCACCCCACCCCCCGCCCGCCAGCCAGCCATCCCGCAGAGGAAAACTACACTGATCTGGCCCAATCCAGTTTGACACCCCCGATTTATAGAGTAAAGAAAAATAATTCCAACTGGTGGGGTCCAGGAAGAGAATCTCCTCTGCTGTTCTCTCACTCTCCTGGCCTTCTGGAAAGGAGGTACAACATTGGCTTTGCAGGCTTGCTTGGGGAGGACAGAAAAGCATGCAGCCTTGGGGCCGCTTAGCGCTTTGAAAGCCCCGCCTTCTGCTTTCAATTCATTCATATCATCCCTGTCTCTTTTAAAATTTTAACCTTTATCTACTGCTTTTATGTTTTAATATTTTATTGTAGACTGCCCAGAATCCTGCTGTGAGGGAGATGGGCAATTCCAAAATGTGATGATGAACATAACAAACAAATACATTTCTTATCTCGATCTGGGGCTAGAAAATGTTGCTAGTTTGCATAAAATGAGGGCAAATAGAAACAAAAGTCCTAGTACTTAACAGCAAGCTATTGTCAACCTCAGTTTCCAATTTAAGGATGTGCAGAGCATTTAATATGGTCAAGAACTTTAATTCATAGCAAGTCCTCGATGTACGACCACAATTAAGCCCAAAATTTCTGCTGCTAAGCAAGACAGTTGCTAAATGAATGTTGCCTCATTTTACAAACTTTCCATAGTTGTTAAGTGAATCACTGCGTTTGTTAAGTTAGTAACCCAGTTACGTGAATCTGGCTTCCCCATTGACTTGGCTTGTCAGAAGGTCACAAAAGGTGAAATGACCCCGGGACACTGCAGCCATCGAAAATATGAGCCAGTTACCAAGTGTCCCAATTTTTGGGATTCTTCAATGGTCACAAGTGTAAAAAAACACCATAGGTCACTATTTTTCAGTGCGCACATTTCGGATATTTTTCATCCTATCAACTGTCGCTCAACTTGATTTATTAACTTTAAATTGATTTGAATTGAATTGCTTACTTGTTAAGTTAGTGTATTATTTCATTTCATTTCCTGTGCCAATGGACCTTCACACGGTTTACAAAAAGCAATATGCAGCAGTAATGCAAACAATATATCACAACCATATCACGGGATATTCATTTAAAAGGTTTTGTGGGAGAAAGCAACTAACACAGATCCATTCACGCAGTATTTCCACAAGGAATGCTTGGGTGAAGACAAAAGTTTTCAACTGATACTAAAAGCTGTCATAATACGTGCCTCACAAATTTAAGAAGGAGAGCATTCCTTCAATAAACTCCACAATGGAAAAGGACTAACTGTATGTAATCCCAAAATAGTACACTTCAGATTTTGGGACACATACCGGGACCCTTTTTCGATGGCCTCAAAAATCAACTAGGTGTTTATTGCTGGATCCAATCTGGGTCAGTCACGGGGACCCGAGGTTTAGTCTTCTGAGCTTTCAGACTAACGCTGGAGCCCATCCTCAGGGAACTTCACTCTAGCAGAGTGCGTGCTTTGTGTGCTATGTCTATGAAATCAGCTATAGCTTATATGGATGAAAGTAATCTGTCAGTTCACCTACTTTCTCTACATTAGCAGCGTGTGGAATCTCAACCCTGGCTTGATCCCTGTCTTTTCTTTAAATCAGGAGTGTCAAACTCAAGGCCCACAGGCCAGGATCCAGCCTGCAGCCTGCAAGGCCGGCCTGGAAATAGCAAAGGAAACCTGGAAATCTGGCCCATGGTGCCTCTGCTAGTGAAATGGGGGTGTGGGGGGCCCCAGTGGCCCCCTGTGCCCTGTTCTTGGGCTGGACGGCCTCCAGCAGCACCCTATCGGCGAAAATGGTGTGGGCTGTGCCCCATTTTGGCCAGCAGGGTGTTGCAGGAGGCCATCCGTCCTGTCTCCTCCCCCCTCAGCTGACCTGTGGAGGGCAATGCTGATCCAGCCCTCCAAGAAAGCCACTTTGACACCCCTGCTTTAAATAGTAATATCCACAAATTTGTTATTTTCCCTTACTTTACATCTGAGGTAGAGGAACCTAGGGCATCTAGATATTGTTTGACCCTAACTTCTAGTTCCAATTAACATAACCCGGGATACAATTATGAGAATTGAAAATCCTGTAATCTCTGCAATATTAATGAGTTTTACACAGAGGCTGAATTATTATAGTTGAATAGTTTTTTTTTCTAATTCCTGGTAATATCTTTTTGATAGATGGTGATGGAGAGTGGAGACTGGCTTGCTGGGGGCGAACTCCTTGTGCTGGAGAGAATAAAATGGAACGATGGACTGGACCAGTACCGCTTGACTCCATTGGAGCTGAGGGAAAAGTTCAGAGAGATGAATGCAGGTAGCTGCTGTGTATAAGCCACTCTCCGCTTGTCACAGCCCTTTCCAGTTAATGTGTTCCTGACCCTCCCAAAATGCCATGTTCCTTATATTTCAGATGCAGTTTTTGCTTTCCAACTCCGTAATCCGGTGCACAACGGACATGCTCTGCTAATGCAGGATACTAAACGCCGGCTGCTGGAAAGGGGCTACAAACATCCAGTGTTGCTCCTGCATCCTCTTGGTGGATGGACCAAGGAAGATGATGTCCCCTTGGATTGGCGCATGAAGCAGCATGCTGCAGTGCTAGAAGAACATGTCTTGGATCCCAAATCCACCGTCGTTGCAATTTTCCCTTCTCCCATGTTGTACGCTGGCCCAACAGAGGTATGGAGTTTAGCTCCCTGAACATGATTTTCTTTCAGTGTTGTTCTGGGTTCTTTTTTTTTCCACAGTAGGAAAAGATCCCCCAAAGTAGGAAAGAAATAAGGGAGAAACCATCATCGTATTTTATTCTCTTTCCCAGTTCATGTTTTAAAATGTATTTATAGGAATTTTATCTAGTTTAAGACTATCAATCAGGAGAAATTAATCTAGGATAACTTCAGAACAGACATGATTGGGGGAATAACAGAGAGCCAGGACTGTGTCACCCAATCTTGGTACATTCCTTTCTAATATCTGAGTTTGATGACATGATGGAAGTTTCCAAAGAGATAAAAAGGGGGGTTCCTGATATCAGATCTCTCTCTCTCTCTCTCTTATTACTGTATTGAAATATTTTAAATACATGAAACAGTATGAATGTGAATGAGTCTGCTTGAGAGTAAATCTCATTCCATTTGTTGAGGCCTCTGGGTAAGTGGGTATAAGATTGTAGCCTAAGATACCTCAAAGTGCTTTTTATAGCATTCTGACATTCATTCTTATGGCAGGTCCAGTGGCATTGTAGGTCTCGAATGATCGCTGGTGCCAATTTCTACATTGTGGGTCGAGATCCGGCAGGTATGCCACATCCAGAGACCAAGAAAGACCTGTATGAACCCACACAAGGTGGAAAAGTGCTTAGTATGGCTCCAGGACTAACCTCAGTGGAAATAATTCCCTTCCGAGTGGCTGCTTACAACAAAGTACAAAAAGCAATGGTTTTCTATGATCCAGACAGGTAAGTAATAATAGCCACTTACAACTCCATAGTTAACCCTTTCTCACATTAACTGTGTCCTCATTGGTGTCTAACCAGGGGAACCAAGCTGCCATTACTTTTTTATTTTATTATTTTTATTTTATTATATTTATCGCCAAGAGTCGGCCCTGACTGAACTGATAACATCATCATCATTATCATGACCAAAGCTTCTATTAATTGGTATGTGTTCCTTTACATGAGGCACTAAACCAGGTTTAACTAAAAGCTTCTCGATTTTTTTCTTTTGATCAAATGGGAGAAAAAAAGAAAGTGAAGACTGTCATCTTAACACATGACAAAAATGGTGAAAATTGCTTCCCTGTCTTGACCCTAGTCCTAATTTGAACTATGGTTCACAGTATACATATTCAACACCTTGCTCAGGATTTAGGTTGGAAAATTAGAAAATGTGATTTTTTTAAAAAAGTAAATAAAGAGATGTGTGATATGTGTTAAATGCTACTAGACATGCACAGGAACCAGAGATTGTATTTTGCAATATCTGAAGTATAAGTATCCCATTTCTGTTAGAGAGAAGTGTGATAAATACTATCCTAACTTGGGATGCAGTTTTGGGTTGTTGTTTTTTGCTTCTGAATATCCCAAATGTGTTCTTCTTCCAAAAAGCAACTAGACTTTTTTTGGTGTTTTCTTTGAAACCATTTCACTTCTTGTACAAGAAGCTGAGGAACTAAAGAAGCTTCTTGTATGAGAAGCGAAACGTTTTCAAAGTGAACACCAAGAAAGTCCAGTTGCTTTTTGGAAAAAAAAGAAAAACCATTTGGGACAGCCATAACCTGGATGTTTGAGAACATTTGCCTCTGAATAGTCTTTAAAAATTTGAATTCTGGGATAATGGAGCAATGAAATATTATGAATTGTTCAGACCGTGCAGCAACCTGAATTGCTATTTGTATGTGTGAATGATTACTCTTTAGTAATATGTAAACAATAGCATCCATGTCAGAACAATTTGAATGTACAGAAAGTGAGCAAAGATTGGGGAAATGTGGCCTTTGGGTGCTGTTTTTGTTATTGCAATTTGCTTGCCCTCTTTCATATTTTCCATTTGTTCTTCACCAGGCACAATGAATTTGACTTCATTTCTGGCACACGCATGAGAAAGTTGGCTCGTGACGGTGACAATCCCCCTGATGGGTTCATGGCGCCAAAAGCATGGAAAGTGTTGACAGAATACTACACATCGATGGAAAAAAAATAATTAATTATGCTGTCTCTGTCAAAGTGCCTTTATTTTAAATATGAGCTCTGCTAATTGATGAATGTGCTATGATGTTTCATCTAGTCTGGAATCTTTTGATTGCTGGGCATTTTCTTTCTGGACCATACGATGATTCTGGACCAGCTTTTCCATTTTTAGAGCTTAAATAGTCGATTTCTTCTTAATTTCCAGGAATGCCATAAAACAAGTTTTGACTGTACACATCAAAAGAAAAAAAGATCAAAATAATGAATTCAAAGCCATAGGGATCCAGCTCTCACAGCCTTTGCCAAAAAGAATTGAAATTATGCAAATTATCACATTAGAGCATGTGATTCTTTCTAATGCTATAAATTGAACCCCCAGAAAGAACCAGGGGATAAACTTGTACTTTCCCATTGTGGAGGGTTGTGGTTGTTGTTTTGGCCTCCCTCAAAACCTTTTATATACTGTTGGGGTGAAGACAGAGGATTTCATGGTATGCCATTTTTTAGACGGTGATGATGATAATGAAGATGAAATGGAGTTGGTGCAATCAGCATTTCCCAACAAGAGAATTCCCTGGCAGTTTTCTCTTGGAAACAGCTCACAAAGCTGTGCTGGTTCTGAAAACTTCTTTATAGCCTTTTGGTCAACTTGGGCCAAGAAATGCACCTTTCTCATCCTTGACATTGAGTTTCTTTGTAGCCTTGGCCAAATTCTTTCATGAAGGACATCCACAAGCATTCCACCCCCCTCAACTGGGTGCTAATAACATTATTACAGGCTAAATGATTGCCCTTTCACAGCTCCACTCCTCTCTTCAAAGTACAGACCAGACTAGGAAACCAAAGTCATGTAGGTCACTACTACTTTTATTGTAAAGATATAGTAATAGAATCTTACGAGTCTGAATACATTTCCTCCTTCCCTCTCTTTATCCATCAGAGAACTAGAGAGGGTCTTGCCGGAAACTTTTTTCAAGTTACATTTCTGCCCCTTCTTTCATTTGACTATTGTCTTAGTAGTTGCTCTTCTATCTCCCCCCCCTCCCCCAAGGCCATTTCCTTTTCCCCACTACAGTTGCTCAAGTCAGCATCCATCATGATCGTCTTAGCTTATCCAGTGCCCGGGCTGAATTTGACTGGAGAAGTTTTTCAGAGACATGGATTGATTTCTAACCATCTTCTAGGGCTGTGGGGTGAAATTGGCACTCCATGGGCCGGATGCATCACACGCAGGCCAGGCCCAGCCCAGTTCCGCAAAAAGAAAAAAGCCACGATACGTCACGTGATGCAATCAAGTTTGACACCCATGTTCTAGGGCAGAGGTCTCCAAACTTGGCAACTTTAAGACTTGTGGACTTCAGTTCCCAGAATTCTCTAGCCTAGCTGGCTGGAGAATTCTGGGAGTTGAAGTCCACAAGTCTTAAAGTTGCCAAGTTTGGGGATCCCTGTTCTAGAGTGTCTGTAGAAAGAGGTATCAAAAAATGTCATGACAGCTACAATGCTGTCGTACCTTTTTTTACTGACTCGATTTATCCAACTCTGAATTCTCTTAGATGTGCAGCAAATCCAACGAAGGTGTCTTAAAAGGAAATAAATTGTTAACAACTGGTTTAAAGGACTGATTTATGCACGCAATGGCTGATAGCTTAGTATTTTTTGTAACATTACAAAAATCATCATCATCTAAAAGAAGCATTTAAAAGTAGGGATGGAAACCCAGGGGCACCCTAAGGCAACTTGAATTTGGAGTAAATCTTAAGGGAAAGGTGATTGCATGTGCAGGACACAATCCTTTTCCATAGGAAAGCTTTTGGCATTTTATATATTGAATCCTCACGATTCCTATATTTTTAATTCTTATCATCTTGGCAAGGAACAAATAAGCACACACATTATCATGGTTGATGAATCTCAAATTATGAGGCTCTGTTCCAGAATCTGCTCATAGGGGTAGAAAACATGTTTTAGCTGTTATTTTTTCCTGCATATAATTGATTGAGTCAGAATTAACTGATACATTCCTTTTGCATCTTAATACCTCAGGCATGAATGCTAAATGCAATTTATTGTGATATTTTATTTCTTTTCAAAAATATACCAGCTCCTTTTGCTATTGTGCTGCAATACTTAGTGCTGTTCAGTGGCAAGGAGAGTGAAATACGGTACAAATCAGAATAGCCCCATCAGGAAAATCATTGAGAAGATACGATCTGTCTCTGAAGCTTTATATACACTGTTATTTTTCCATCACCTTAGTCTGAGATAGCCCTGCTTTTGAGCATAACACTTGGTGCTGTTCTACCACTGGACACACAGTTAGCTGCTGCTATGATTAAACAGAAGTTTGGCTCTGAAATCCACATCCAATATCAAGGGTTATTGAAAACTTAGAATAAAACAGCTGTCCTGTGCTCTGTATGATTATATCAGGCAAGTCCAGCTACTACCTGTATTTTCACAACTGGAGAATTGTCGCATTAAATGTCTTCAGTGTATTATTTATTTTTGTAAGTTTTATAAAGTACAACTTTATTTGAAAACGCAATTCAGGGCACTATAAAATTTGGAATCAGTACATTATCAGGCCAAACATTAACTGCAGAACTGGAAAGAATAAAAATGGTGGAATTTAAAATATGTTAATTGCAAATCCACGAACGCTCTGAAACTTTTATCAGTCTGTCCATCCATCCATCCATCCATGCATCTTTCTTTTGGATATAATTATTCATAATTGTTAGAATTTCTTCCTATTGTGACTCCCACAAGATGAAAAACTGATTCAGATCATGGATTATAGAGCCTAAAATGGATCGTGGCCATAATTTGGGCATTTATATTAGCTACTGGTATGCTAAGTTTCTTTTTTCTTTTATGATTTGGATTTTTCACTATTCTTGTCCAGAAATAGGCATGTTGCTTTACTCATTTTCATGTAACAATTATGCAACAAAGCCATTTTTGTAGTCTTAAATACAAAATATTTGAAAATGCTTTTAAAAACATTGCTATAGCATTTAATGCTTTTTGAATCTTTGGGACCAAGAGTATAAAATGAGTTTCCTTTTTTTTTTTTTTGGTCAGTTGAATGCAATAGGTAAGCATTTTGCAAATTGCATTGAACAGAAGACAAATAGCCAGTATAATGGGTAGAAGGTTCCAGCATTGCAGGCCTAACCAAGAGCTTTGGAAGGAAACTTGAAGGTAGATGTCTTCTTGCCTTTGTAATCTAAATGTTTATAGTGCCAATATTTTTCTAGGTTTTTAACCTTATAGAACTATAGAATTCAAATAAATACGTTGTAATGTGCCTTTACCTCTTTTTACAAAAATACATCCTATAATATTTTATAGCATATTTATTACAGAACTGAAACCAACATGTATGCCTTAACTGTTGCGTCTCTTGATAAAAAATATCTTCTTGCCTTCTATTACTTAAAATTCATTTTGGTGATAATAAATATTTCACTGATTGTTTCTGCCATTCACTTGTCTGCATGTGGTAAAATGTCCAAAACTGGCATCTGTTCGTTCATCTTAATGTCCTCAAATTGCATCAAGAGCCATGATGCTACAGAAAGTCTGCAGGAGTTCTACATACAATAAGTAAAGTTTTATCCCAAAAAAGATTGTCAGTATTATCGATTAGGAAAATGAATAGTCACTTTGTGTAGAGAGCAAAAGACTCAAATGCTCTTGCTAGAAAATGAGGAAACGTGATCCTTTATAAATTGAGTAAATATATACAGGTTGTCCTCGACTTACAACAGTTGATTTAGCGACCAGTTAAAACAGTTCTGAATCAAGTGACTTATGACCATTTTTTCACACTTACAACTATTGCAGCATCATGGGATCGAAATTCGGATGCTTGGCAACTAGCTTATATTTATGACCGTTGCAGTGTCCCAGGGCCACGTGATCTGCTTTTGTGACCTTCTGACAAGCAGTCAGTGAGGAAGCCAGGTTCACTTAGCAATGTTAACCACTGCAATGTTCCACTTAACAGCTGCGAAAAGAAAGGTCGTAAAATAGGGCAAAATTCACTTATCTAGTGTCTTGCTTAGAAACATAAATTTTGGGCTCAATTGTGGTCATAGGCTGAGGACTACCTGTCCTTGAGAGCCAGTTTGATTTAGTGGTTAAAAGACAGTGGGCTAAAAAACCAGACCATAAACTCTCAACCTACCTGAGAAACAAGCCAGCTTTGGGGGGTGGGGGAATGGACCTTGGACCAGCCACTCTCAGCCCTAGTTTTGCAAGGGCAAACCACTTCCAAAACTACAATGGGTTGTCCAAGTAATCATTAGGAAAGGGATTGGGTGTATGTAATAATACCAGTTACTGTGGGTATTGGTCTAGAACCGTGATGGCGAACCTATGGCACATGTGCCACAGGTGGCACACAGAGCCATTTGTGCTAGCACGTGTGCTACAGGCAAACTTACCTCACTGTGCATGCGTGCACCTCACAGATGATTTTCAGCAGGTTTGAGGCCTTTTTCGACTTCCCAGAGGCTTGAGCAAGGTTGCAGGCTTTGCAGGCTGAAAACTAGGCCCGTTTCGTTACTTCCAGTTTTTCTGGAAATACCGGAAGTGATGAAACAGGCCTAGTTTTCAGCCTGCAAAGCCTGCAGCCTTGCTCAACTCTCTGGGAGGTCCAAAAAAGCCTCAAGCCTGCAGAAAATCAGCTGTGAGGCACAGTGCAGGTAAGGGGGCGGGTGGGGGATTGCACACACATGCGTAGGGGGTGGGGGGGCATGCATTGCCTTCTGGGTGCTGACACATGAGTGCGCAAGCATGTGCACAATTTTTAGCACAGGAGCCCAAAAAGGTTAGCCACCATTGATCTAGAAAGATACCGGTTTAGGGAAAAATGTCAATTTACCTCATAATCTTGAATTAAACTAATTCTAGTCTTAGCCAACATGACTAAATTGAGAGATGACTGGAGTTGCAATATGTTACCTGAAAGTCTGCTGCAGAGACCCTATTTCTCTTCTAGATAGGGAGAAAAAAAACCCTCATGCAGATAGTCCTCGACTTAAAAGTTTGTTTAGTGACCGTTCAAAGTCACAATGGCACTGAAAAATGGGACTCGTGTCCATTTTTCTCATGTCGTGGCATCCCCGTGATCAAAAATTCAGACGCTTGGCAACTGGTTCAGAGTTACAACCGTTGCAGCATCCCGGGGTCATTCACAACCTTCTGGCAAGCAAAATCAATGGAGGAAGCCATATTCACATAACAACCGGGGTACTAACTTACCTACTGCACTGAATCACTTAACTGTGTGGCACGAAATGTCCTAAAATGGGACAAAATTCACTGAACAAATGTCTCACTTCACCACTGTGACAAGAAGGGATGTAAAGAGTGACAAAACTCACTGAACAAATGTCTCACTTAAGAGTAACAGAAATGTCGGGCTCAATTGTGATCGTAAGTCAACTCCCTGTACTGCCTTCAGGAAAGCGTCTCTTCAGAAAATAAATGAACACTGAAACTGAATCATAAATAGGTTGGCTAATCCTTTTTTTTTATTCATTTACATGTAGCCACTGCAATGAGAATACATGTACATACTTGATCCTTAAAACCTTGTGGAAAAACATGTTTTTTTTAAAAAAAAAACACAATTTTAAATGATTTGCCATGATCATGTCACATTTATTGCTTCATTCTCTAATTAATCAAGCTCAATTTTGTCAATGGGTTTTCAGGTTTAAGAAAGGAACCCTTAAATATTCCGATGCCCATTATTATTTTACAGAGTGGTTGTGCTCTTTTACGTCAATGGAAACTCCATATGCTGGCAATGGCAATAATAAAGCACAAACATGCCTAATGACAAAGCTTGTTGCTTAGATTTCAGAGTCTCAAAACTCTTGGTGGACTACTTTACTCTCATGAGTAAAATAGGATGACACATAAACCTGACACAACCACAGCGCCGTAAATACAACTACAGACATGGTGTCCGTGACGGAACAGTGAACAGCCCACTCCTACTCCAAAATCACACACCAACAAGAAACAGGAGCCCCCACAGAGAGATCATGTATGCTTAATATTAGCAGATCTATCATCTCCACCTTTCAAACTAGTTGCAGGCATTCGGCCTTCACATGGAGCTCTTAACATACCATGTCAACTGCAAGATGGGAAGAGGAAAAGGGTAGACACCTCTTCTTTTGCAAGATGAAAACAAGTGCTAGTCAAGCCCTTGATGTTACTGGAATTTAATTTTAGAATAGTGCACAAGAAGAGCAACAACCTCATCTGTAAATGCATTATGGATTGTTTTTAACTATTCAAGAACCATCTTGATTGCGCAAAGAGTCAACATTCAGTTACGTGCTTATCTGAATGTTGGAAGAGCTAAAAGTACGATAATGACATAGTGCCATAATGGTGTTAACATGGCCCCTTTATAAAGGAAGGTGCTCTGTTGAAACAATGGCTCTTAAAACAAGGAAGTAAGAAGAAGTCAACACTGGGAAGTTTCTGTTTTATTTGGAATAATTCTTCCGAAAATCTTCTGCATCCATTCCATCTTACTTGGGAAACATTCCTCAACAATTGGAGTAGTTTTGTAGGGGTAGCAAAGGAGGAGACATGAAACTTTCCATAAATTTTCTTAAGTCAGTTGATCTTATAAATAAGTCCCTATTCCCCCCCCCCCAAAAAAATAATAATAATATACTAATATTTTCATCTGGAAGTCAAATAATTTTATAAGGCAAACATTGGGCTGTTGAATATGCAAATTTATGCCATGGAACTATGACTATGCCAAAAGACTGCTATTTTTGTGTGCTACAGACTAATGAAGTTATTTCTCTGGAAATCGTAAACAAAATTGTTCCTTTGAAGGAAGTTACTGTGAACTTTCAATGGGAAGTTGCTATCATCCTAATCAGACCATAACTATCAAAAATGGAAAGAGAATTTCCATTTGTGACAATTGGTACCTTTGAGTACCTTTGAGCAAGACTGCTCTTTAGTGTATAAATGCAGATAAATATTTTATTATAAAACTATACAGCTAGGTCTCAGGGATAGCTAATGGTGCTTAGTAACCAAGGAGGGTCATAAAAATCTCTATCTTAATACTAATATAGCAATACGTCTGGTGGAATAAATACCTAAAAATAGTTCTAGAAATTAAACAGATTGTTCACATGTATTATCTCTTAAAGAAGTTGAGGGGGGATTCATTCGACATTTTCAGGTGTTTCTTACTTCCTATGTTTAAATTATGCCTACCAAATTAATACTTACTGTTGGAATGATGGAGTCAGAAGGCAAACAGGCTTGAAATTTTAAGTCGGAGGTCTCTAAAACTTGGCAACTTTAAGACTTGTGGACTTCAACTCCCAGAATTCTCTGGGAGCTATGCTGGCTGGAGAATTCTGGGAGTTGAAGTCCACAAGTCTTAAAGTTGCCAAGTTTGGGGACCCCCATTTTAAGTCATGTTTTAAATACAGTGACAAAGGACATCAGAAGTATTGACCAAGGTTTTTTAAAGTCTTGAGAGACTTCATGCGTAAAGAGCATCTGCTGAAATTTCCTGAGCTGCTACAATCTTTGGATCCTAACCACTGTCCTTAAAACAAACCTGGAATCAGTGACATTTAACTTTCCCTCTTGCAAAATAAATCAAAACATTTAAAGAAAAAAGATAAAACCTTTTTTCACTCTGTGAGAGAGAAACGAAGTATGATTTATGCTACTATAAACTGAAATGGGACTATTCTGAGCTTATGAAAATTATGAAGTGAAATAATATATCTTAAAATGAATATATTTGGTCAGAAATACTAATATCTAGCTTTGCTGTTGTGGCAAAAGATTATTCACCACCATTCATAAATCTTTAGAACATGAGGTACAACAGAGACTTACTGTGTGACATTTATTTACAGGCCATAGAAAACACTGGAAAGATACAGCAGTTTTATGAAATGGTCAGATAAAGTTATTAATTTTATACTTTGAGGTATGGCTAAAATTGAGTAGAATAAATTTGAGACATCAACAAAGAATTATTATCAGAATACAATAATGCTCATTAAAATGGAAGACTTAACTGAAGAATTAAATCAAGTACTTTTACCAAAATCTACCAAAGGAATTTGTCCTAAGTTTTAATATTGCAAGAGAGATTTGTGCAAATGACTTTAAAAGGTCAATTTACTGATATCTCAAGCTGTATTTATATGTATGGCTGAAAATCAGAGCAGCGTGTCCAAAAACATAGATATTTTTCAAGTATTTTTCTTTTCAGCTACATACCTCAGATATGTACGTACTTCTGATATGTACAAGGGGGTTGGATAGGACTGATTTAGCAATAAAAGGAAAATTAAATGACATCCGGCCCCCATTTTTATTTTATGTTGTCAATGATGCAAAAGCATTTGATCATCACATATACATTTACCCACTCAGTTCTTAATCCCAAATATTCTGAATAACCACTTAAATGGGACTAGAATTCAAAGATGGGCTGACTTGGGTGGATTTTTAAAAGTATTGTTTTCATTTGACAAAATCTGCTTTATTTAAAACTAACTGAATTGTGTTCTCCTTGGCGACAGATTTTCCATTTTGAAATGGACACATAGGAAGAAGAAAAAAGGGAATCATTCTAGTTAGGATATGATCTGTAAAAGACATTTTGGTTCCATACCCAAGAAAAGAAGCTTACATATATATACCTAGAATTAGCACAGATATGAATTTGGGGGAAGAGACATAACAGTAAATGAATTTAAGAAAATAAATTTCATTATTCCAATCTTTCCTATTATTTCATAATAAATATGAAATATGATTATTTCCTACTCTCTGCAAGACCCCTATCTTATAGAAAGAAATTAACTAAAATTAAAAACCATTGCCCTTGATGTCAATATAATTGTCATTTCCACTTAAAGCTGTTAGAATGTTTCGAGCAGTAAAGTAGGAAATTTAGCAATGGCAGCATTTATGTCCAGTAATGAAATAAAGGACATTATTCACAATTCGGGAATAAAAGAAAATATTAACAACCTGTAGTTTCCAGTGTTCTGCCTACAATGGTAAGCTTCCATTATATAAAAAGATATTAAAAAGAATACAATTTATAGGATCATACAAGATGAAAACATTCATGAGATGTGTGCAGAATTTATGTTTACATCATTGGCACCTGCGCAAACTGACAGTTGTGATGCAAAGGAGAAATGAGAATTTCCCTACATTACAGATACACACACACACACACACAGACTCCTCCCAAAAAGTAAAATTTCTGTCTGTGCATTAGGGAACTGTGGCAGTTATTATTTTAACCCCATGATCTAACTCGATCCAGATAGTAAGTAAGTAAGAAAAAGAATGAATGGATTTCAAGTTTTCTACATATTATGTCTCTATATAAAAACCTGTGGATACACATACGTATCATATATATATACACACACATTGTCTCATACATATATACACAGGCTCTGCTCTCCCTCTCAGAGCAACCATGTGCCATGTGAAAACCTACCAACACATTTTTAAGGCTGCAACAAGGACATTGTTTTAAGCAAGAATATATCCCTCCCTGTCATGATCTGTCTTGTCACACGGACCCAATCCAATTCTGAAAAATTACTAGGTTTCAATAACTTAGGTATCAGCATATAAAAACAATTCCAGAAACAATCGTTAAAAGGATGGAGTTTTTTTGATCAATTGACTTGTACTATTTAAATTACCAGTCACCAAAACAAGCGATGGGTAGGTAACCTTAATCTAAACTAACATGCATCAGAACACTTTGATTCGTTGCATCCTTTGATTTCCTCATCTTCTCGATGGCTCGATGCAAATCCCTTTGTTGCACTGGGCGAATCTCATCTTCGTCATTGCTGGAAGAAAAAAAAAACAGGAAAAAGTGAAAATAAAACAAAAGAGACAGAGTATACTTTGTATTATGCAGTGTTTGGAAAGAATCTAGGGCAGGGATAGTCAGACTCAAGGCCTGTAAGGCCAGATCTGGCCTGTGGGGCATTTAGATCTGGCCCGTAGGGCCACCCTGGAAACAGCAAAGGACCAGCCCGTGGTGCCTCTGCCAGCAAAAATGGAGTTCGGGAGGCCTGTATGCGGCCCTCCCAAGCTCAGTTTTCATGGGCAGAGGGTTACAGGAGGCTGTCGCACCTAGAAACGGAGCTTGGGACCCTGTTTTTGCTGGCAGACCGCTTAGATCACCACAGGTGTCCCTAACATGAGCGATGTCGAGCTGGCCATGCCCCTCCCCAGCACCCCCAAGGTCAAACACAACTCTGAGGCGGCCCTCAATGAAATTGAGTTTGACACGCCTGATCTAGAGGTATGAGACCTGCTTCAAATGCCAACCAAACCATTCCAAATGTTGAGTCTGAAACAGTGGTTCCCGTGTTTAAAACTATGATTTTTGGAAGTATTTTGACCACTTCAGAATTGATCTGAGGTGTTTCACAGTAATTTAAACCAGATATTCGCACATTTGAAATTATCTGCAATCTTATGTGGCATTAATGTAATTCTCATTTCTCCAGATGCAAGAAGACATACAAGTTAGTCATGAATTAAGAGCACATCCATCTTGCTACATAAAGTAAGGAAACAGGAAGGAATCCCCTCCTAATTATTGTAAACAGTCCACCCAATCTTTAGATTATGAGAATCTATTTCTTAAAAAGTAAAAAAAAACACCTCAGCAAAATTGGCTCCTAGATATCAAGCCTTCTGGGCCATTAAATAGAAGTACCTGTCTTCATATGCAGTATTTACATATTCCCTGACACACAGCAGTGCAGCATCGCGGCACATTTCTTTCAAGTCACTTCCTGAAAACCCATCCGTTTCTTTGGCGACTTCCAGGAGATCCACATGCCTGTCCACCTGTCAGCAAAGAAAAAAAACACCCCACGTAAGGGCCACATAATTAACTTATAAACAATAAGGAATTGCTCAGACTGAAAGAGAATCAAAGAATTTGTCATGCTTGATTTTGTTAAAAGAAAAATTACTTATTAAGGACTTGGTTTAATCAGAGTCTTATTTATGGAAATTCAAAAATGACCAGAATTATTAATTAGGAAATCTCCATGGGGCTTTGGTTATTGATGGGCACCTTAGGATTTTGATAATTATTAATAGCGATAGTCAAATGGCTCTGATAAATTTTTATGTTCTAACTGTATATAAGTTAGGTATTTTGCATAATTGTTCCGCAAGTCATTTTCATTTACAAGAGATTATACATGCAGTCCTTGCTTGGTTGCTTAGCAATTGTTCAAAGATATGAACTCCCCTCCAAAAACTACTTACAACCAGTTCCAGAGTTCCAATGGTTGTACAACCTCTCCAGTTACATGACCATATTTTGAGCACTTGGCAACCAGGTCACCTTTACAACTGTTGAGCACATGAGCATTTATGATCATGTGACTGAAGGACACTACAACTGGTTGTAGTAATTGTCAAGCACCCATATTGTGATGGGGGGAGGGGTTTAGTACAACGGCCATCATGGTGAATGCAAGTATCAAGTTTCTTTTTCCAAAGCTGTTGCAACTTTGAGCCATCATTAAAGGAAGAGCTGTCAGTTGGGAACTACCTGTATTGTTTTTCATGTCTTTTTTAGCCACTCGGTTGAACCATATAAAATGAGTAAATACATAGATAAATTCATGGTAAGCAGGTGGCAGAAACTGAACCAAAGTTGCTACAATATGTGTATAATATGAAAGGTCTCTACTCATATAGGGACCAACAACATGGTAAATATTATGGAATGGATGCACAATAAATTGGAATAATTAACATTTTACCAATAAGCAATAAAATTTCTAAAGATATATTATTATTTGGCAAAATTTTGTTACAATCCAGGTTGGGAAAAAACAAGCACAAGTCTGAGCCAGAATTTTATCTTAACTGAGAACTAAAAATCCATGATATAAAAGCTTGCACAAACTATGTCTACAACCATGAGACACTGTAGGGATACAGAATTTACTTTATAGCGCAAAAAAAGACCAACTTACATTTTCATTTTTCAAAATAAGTTTCAGGATTGCTTCCCTCTGTTTTAGTGACTTTAAATTAAAAGAAAGAAACATATTATTAATACAAAGCAGGAATAATGATCCAATCTTTTTAAAGTGATAATCTTACAACATTTATGATGCATTTTTAAAACTTGTTACTGTACTGCTATAGATTTGTCGTACCAATACATCTTCCAGAGAAGGCACTGATGATGGAAGGTAATTTCCATCATCAAATGCCAAGTGCTTCTCAAGTAAATGTGATTATTCTGCCACATCAACAGCACCCAGGTTCTTTATTCTCTCCTCCTTGCTTCTAGAAGAAGCACTTGTGAGATAATAAATCCTTTGATAAGAGGGATTCACAAAAGATGGTTGAAAGTTATTTGGGAGTGGTCAGTCAGAAATTAAGTCTGGAGCAGTAAGAAAAACAGATTCAAACACAGTTAATTCCTGAGCACACAGAGTCTTTCCAGAACTTCCTTAAACACAGATATAAAAGGCAAATCAAATACAAATAAAGGCAGAATAAACAGCAAGATACCACCAAGCAATTTTAATTATAGAGATTATAAAGGATAGAAAACTGAATAAAAAACAGAAACTTATCTCAAACAAGGCCAATGAATTTCAGATGAGCAAGAAACTGATTAGGTCAAGAGATAAATAAATAGCTGATCTTAAATAATGATACATTTCTCCTACTAAATTAAAATGGAAGCTTTATGAAATTTTCCTTTCAGCATGCCCAGGGTAGAAGTTTTCCCCCACACACTTCCTGCTTCCTAGAGAAAACAGGTATGGCAACTTTCTGATTTCTCTTGGTCGTATCCTCTAAAACAGGGATTCCCCCAACCACCAGTCTTTTTTTTTTCTTTGAAAGTTTTATTTGGGTTTTCACAAAAACAAAATACAAATAAAACATCTTTTTTTAAAATAGCATGGTCCCAGGTTATCACTTCTTCATACGGACACCAAACTCAATTTCATGCTCATTTTTATATTCTATTCCATCTCTTATTACCGTTTTATATTTTCTTCATAGTCTTTCCCCTCTTTTAATTTTCTCAACTTTATTTTAATTATCTCGTCTCAATCAAATCATTATATTTATACTTTTGTCTGTCCTGTTTCAATTTCATATTATCTTTTCTTATTAAACAATTTTTCCCTGTAGTTACCAATTGGAGTATGACACCTTTATATCTTTTAATTTTATCCATTCAAACTCTTATTTAAGCTTCAATGTATACCTTTAAGATTATAGCAGTCAATATAATACATAACTTCCAATCAAATTCTGCTTGGTACATTCTTAAAATACACACTATATTCTTAAAAAGAAAAAAATTATATATATATGTAAATAAAGCACACATTCCATTCCAATTCAATTCTATCATTAATATTCATTAAAATCTTAACATCTTTAAAATTTCTTTTCAATTAAATATCATACTTCCTCGGGAACACTTATAAACTTTCCATAGTTAATTCTTTTTTTTTCCATATTTCTCACTTCCATTTTTATAAATCATTACTAATAATTTTTATAAATCATTACTAATAATGTTCCCATTTAATTCTCTCAATCATTTTAATTCATTTATTTATTACCAAACATTCAACTACATTACAGTAAATATTTTATCCATCATTTTAATCATATTTTCTAAAATTATTTCTGTTTATAATGTAACAATACTATCTTATGTACCTTTGCAGAATCCCTTTTGCAATTAAATTTTCACCCATTATCTCTAAACAAGCTTATGGTTACAATCCTTATATCTTTTCCCTGTTTCTCCATTTTTTGTTTCTGTCTTTTACAACTTCTTTTCCTTGCCTTTTTCCCCATCTTCTTCTCCCTCCCCATTTTACCCCCTCGTCTCTCTACTTCTAACTCTCTCATCTGTAATCCCCTCTTCTGTTGCTTTCTAATATACTTATCTTTCAAATTCTTCTTCTTCTTTTTGGTTGTTTCTTCTAGTCTTAAACCTTTCACTCTCTTTCCCCCCTTTTCTTTTTTCCCCACTTAAAATTATTTGATCATTAAAGAAGGCTTCTTCTTTGTCCCAATCTTCTTCTTCTGCAAGCGTTTCTTGTTGTTTCTCATAGTTCCAGATCTCCATTTCTAAGAATTGAAATACAAAGCCAAAAGAACCTCTCTGTTCTTGTGCATCTTCTTTCCATTTTTTAAGTTCCATTTTCAGTTCTTCTAAGAGTGATACCATTTTAAAGACTTTTAAACAACCACCCAGTTAATTTTACTCATCCAGATGCAAAAACCAAAAATTACCAAGTAATCCAAATAATCCAAGGCTGTTTCTTTCTGCTTCTTTTTTCCTACTTTCTCTTCCTGAGGTTCTATTATTTTGTTACCAAGTTTCAATTAAGATGTATCTTTGAGGAATCTTGTTAAAATTTCACTGTAAGTTCCTTTTAGTTACAGTTCCACCCCTTAGTTCCAGGCAATCTCCTCCATTTTTCCAGATCCTGCCCTTTTATTCTTTTTTTTTCTCCTTTCCTGCTTTTAAAAACTTTTAAATATCCAGAAATCTTTATTATCCCTTTGACTTTTATTTTCAGCTTAGATGCCTATTAATGTCAAAGTGGATCTTTTTCAATTTCTTGCTTAAGTCTCTTAGCTGTCGGTATAAGGAAGGGAAGAAAAAAAAACTAATCCTTTCCCTTCTCTCTCTCCTTTGCAGCTTCAAAATCTTCTTTGGGAACAATGTTATTAAATTTAAATTCCAGGGTACCTTATTTGTTGCTTTTGCTGTTTGACCCGGTCAACCAAAACTTTCTCTTCTTATTTTCCTCCTGCACATTCTTTTCTGGTCAAGTTCTTCTTTGTGGTGGCCATTTCTGGCCACCGCTACAACCGCCTTCGGGAAAGGGAGTAATGGCCAACTGGGGAGGAGAGATGTGGCTCTCCTCAACCCTGCAGGCAGTCTTCCCCTTCTTCACCACCTCTACGGGGTGGTTTAGCCCCGAAACCAGCCGGCTCGGGGCGCTCCAGTGGCGAGCACAGATCGAAGCCTCGCAGAGACGAGGTTTCGGTCTGTCGCCGAAAGTCAAACCGGAAGCAACCCCAACCACCAGTCTTAGGGCCACTCCCAGTCTGCATCTGTTGGGAACTGGGCCGCGGAAGCAGCAGACAAGCACACAAAACTTCATTTACACCTATGTGGAATCTAGGTTGCACATGTGAAACCAATGCTGCCCCCTTCCCCCACCGCTGCTGATCCATGAAGCCAGAAAGTTTGAGGACTGTTGCTCTAAAAGGGTTTTGAAAAGTACATGGAACTTATAACTCAAGCAAAACTCCATGGGTGTGACAGGAATTCCTAACTCAAACATAAGTTATCAGGTCCAATCTTCACTGCATAAGATGGTCTCTGAGGAAAATATAATTTGTTGTCCTAATTTTAAAGCCCTACATAGTTCAGAAGCAGGTTATTATTCTCTTCCCTGTGAAATTTTCAAGGAGCAGCCTACAATACCTCATATCACCTTAGGGAAATATTGGATGGCACAGAAATAGGAGGGGAAAATTCTAAGTAAATTGCCCAAATGTTGGTATGTCATCTTCCAGGAATCCTGTTCGTTCTCTCCATTAACCAGCATTTCATCATAAGTAGCTTGTGTTTGTGTATTTGGCTTATTTTGTTTTTCTTTGTGATCAACTATCTTGGAAACCTAGTATGAGGTAGTGTTAAGATATTAGGCTAGATACCAAGAGACCATGAGTTCTAGTCCTGCCTTAGGCACCAAGCAAGTTAGATGATGTTGGGCCAGTTGCTTTTTCTCTGCCTTAGGAAGAAGGCCATAGCAAACCATTTTAATCAACTTACAGGTTGATTGATATGAAATCTTGTAGGCATTCTTCTCATAATGGCAGTATCAAGATCCTGAGGGCGATTGGTAGCTCCCATCACTATCACCTAAATGTAATTATGATAAGGAACAGTTATTCTTGATGAAATACATGAATATTGACATATCATGTCTCAAACAATTGGCCCTATTTTTGAATGTTTGTTCCCATTAATATCATCAGGACATAATTTATCTGAATCTGAATAAATCTCTGGGTGTTTAAATGTATCTAGAAAATCCCATGTTTAATTGAGAAGCATAACAAATGGTGTTTATAAATACTGATTCCAAAGTACATGGTTACAACTGCATCTGACTAAAGCTTGTTTGATCAATATCAAATAAATGATTAGAGTCAATTATTAATTTAAAGAGTTTTAGACATACAAAAGCAGTTTCAAATCAAAATAAAGACTCCTTTTGATTAATATTAATATTCAAAATATTACTATTATTTTTAAATTATCCTACTCTGAGATACCATTTCTGAAACCAAGATAATTCAAAATCTCATGCAGAGCAGTGAAATGTAGGTTAATTTGTTCATTCATGAAACAGAGAAAATTCTTATTCTATTTTTTAAATATTTTTCGACACTTTTTGACCATCATTTAAGGCATTTTTATTTTGTATGTTGTAACAAGACAATATACAAAATAAATAGGACAAATATTTGGACCACAGAAAAAAATGTATCATGTTTAAAGTAGTTCAGAAAGGTTACTTAATAGTATTGTTCTACGTGCTATTTAAGAGTATGCACATATGGAGGCATCACCCAGAGAAGCAGAAACTCCCCAAATGAAAAGGAAAGTAGCTAAATTATTTTTTAATGCACCTTCATTTCTCATGAAATGATTAGAAATAAAGAAACAGGGTTCTTAGATGTATGAATTCACTTTGACCCAGGTTCTGACATTTAAGGCTTCCCATCACTAGATTAGATTGGGTGGGAAAAGTTTTTTTAAAAAGTAATTTGCAATTCAACTCTCTTTTCACTGTGACTTTCAGCCAACCACACCATTTTGTGGTTAGAAAATAACCATACCAAGTTGCTTAATTGGAGAAGCTACAGAGATATTAATCTCAACTGAATCGGGAACATTTTACCAGAATGACATAAGACTTTCTTTTTGGCACAACTAATCCAAGCAAGAATACAAAACTGAAAATATCAAGTATGACAGCGGATGCACTCTTAGCCTGGAAAAAGTTGCAAACTCCTACTATATGATATGGTGTAGGCTAGTGCTTCTCAACCGTGGTGACTTTTAAGATGGGTGGACTTCAACTGCCAGAATTCTGAGAGATGAAGTCCATCCATCTTGAAGTCAACATGGTTGAGAAAAACTAGTGTAGGTTTGTAATGTTGGACTGGCCCTTGGGAGACCAGGTTCTAACCCTTAGCCTTGGGTGACTGGACAACATGGTCTCTCAGCATTTAATAGGGTTAATCTTGTGGAAAACTTTAAAGGAAGGAATACTATATAAAATACACTGATCTCCTGAATGAAACGAAAGGAATAAATGAATAAACCAGAGGTCTCCAAACTTGGCAACGTTAAGACTTCTGGACTTCAACTCCCAGAATTCAATTCTGGGAGTTGAAATCCACAAATCTTAATGTTGCCAAGTTTGGGGACCCCTGGAATAAACCAATGTTTTGTGCTTCCATTTCTTTAGCTGACATTTTTTTATACGCCACAATGCTTGCTCGTAAATGCCTATAACTGAGCATCTAAGCAATGAAAAGTACATTTTTATAAGTATTGCATGAATGTATCAATGAAAAACAATAATTTGCTATTTACTTGGCAATTAAAATCAGTGTCTAGACCATCCCAGAGACTCATGAACTGGGCTTTCATCATAGCTGTGGCCTCATGATCAGAACTTGAACGACTTCGTAGAAAAGAATCTGCATTAAACAAAACAGAATTTGAGTAGAACTTGTATTTCTAGAGTATGATGTGTTGCATAGTGCATTAATTGAGGCACGTGAGAACATTTGGGGCACACAGTCCTATGTAGTTAAGAGGAATTCTGGACAGCGTTTCTGAAACAGTTCTTGTCTTTTCTAGCAAATGAAAGAAGTTTCCAGAATAAGATTATGATGCATCCAAGAAGGGTTGATGCCTCATGTGCCTTTTTCAGTTGGTTATTTATTGTCTATCAGTTTCTAGGAGTCTTACAAAAAAAAAAAGCTGAACTGAGAGACCTGGTTTTGATAAAGTAATTTCTGTTCTTAAACAACAGTACAGTTCAAGATCCTTAATTAGTAATACCTTAACTGGATTAGTTAACATTCCCTCTTGTTTTATATATTTAAAAATGCATATATCAACTAGAGACATTATAGTAAAAACATTTTTATTGTATCTGTTAATAGGTATTATTTGAAAGTAATATATCATAAGAAGTATAAACATGATTGGGTGCACTGTAGTCCCTGTATATAGTAGCATAATTAACTAAATTATATTATTAGCCAATACAAATATCCAAAACCACAAAAATATTCCCATCGAACATTGCTGTTACTGTTTTTTTAAAAAGATTTAAAACAAATATTTTTAGCTTTGTATCCTTAAAATAAAAATCTCATCTATTTAAAGTAATAGGTTTGATATATCTATTGATGAGGGTGACATCTACTTTCCCCCCTCAAATTCTAATATCCTTATATAACCCATCTCTTGACTGAAAATAAATCAATAACAATCCTTCAACTGTTAAAATAAAGTAAGTAAACGTATAAAATAAAGTTGCATAAAATTGATTATGTCATGCAAGAGTTGGGTGATGGGTTCACAGCATCTGAACAACAACCTTAAAATGCAGCTTCATGGCTGGCTTGTTTTGAAACCGTTATCCAGCATTATTTCGCAGAACTCGCGCATTTGCAGGAAGTGCCCACTCAAAGTGGAACTTGCTCATCTGATGAAAACTAAAAGCTAGGGCTTGGTCCGGGTCCCAACCCTTAGGGACTGTTTTGTTTGGGGATTCTGGGGGTGAACGTTCTCAGTTCCGGTCTCTCTCCTCAGGGACATTTTCATCCTGAGGTCTGTTAGCGTTCATGAAGACACTAGCAAGAGTTTTAGGAAGCCTTTGAGGAATGGGAAAATAAGAGGAACATTTCCCTGAGAAACCGGTGGCTGTGGTAGTGGAATCTTTTTACTTCTTCCGATGTTTTATCCTATTTTAATCCAAACAGTGTACAGAAAACTGTGTAAGATACTTAGAGGCAGTCTGAGTGGAGTTATAATTTCTGAAGATATGTATGCATGTGTTCCAGCTGGGATATATCTGATCCCATCACTTAGCCAAGGAAACCAGCTAGGGATAGAAGTTAATTGTTATTTACACTTAAGAAGAAAATTAAAGGACAACATGGAGACTTTTGTGCTGTGGCCTATTCGGAATTGGGCTGCATGAGTGGCTGGCCAGAGCAGCTCAACTTGTGCGAGTGATGGGCTGGTGGGCAACCATGTGCATGCACGCTGGCCCGCTGCTTGTGTAAGTCAAGCTGTGGGTGTGTGCACCAGCCTGTCACTTGCACAGTCTAGTTTCTCTCTTCCCCTCCCCCAGCTGGGCTGCCAAACTGCAAAGCTTGGGGGCCGCTGTTTTATACTAACTGTAATGAGAAAGAAACAATTTTTTGTTATAGAATTTGGCTTTTTCCAGGGATATGTTTTCTAGCTAAGTATTATATTACCGGGATGTAAGCAATGAGCATCATGTCCAATTTTACATATATCTGAGTTAACAACTAAATGTGCCCATGCTAAATGTAGAATAAGTGTGATGTAGTGGTTAAAGTGCTGGCCTAGAAACCAGGAAAGTGAATTCTAGCCCCATCTTAGGCGTGAAAACTGACATGGTGACTTTGGGCCAGACTCTCTCACACAGCTGTTGCGATGGGAAATAGGAGGAGGAAGTATTATGTATGTTCACTGCCCTGAGTTATTTATAAAAGTAATAAAGATGGGGGGAAAATATTTAACTTAAAAAAAAAACTCCATATAATATCTAACACCAGATTTTGAATTTCATACTAGATATATGCAATTGCTGAAGGGATGAGAAAATGATGCCGCTCTTCCCATTACACGAATCCAAATAGACAAAGGAAAAGTATTTCATTTTTCTTTAAACCTTAAATATGCATATAAAACATAGGGAAAGGTAGGAAAGGTTTTCCCTACCTTTCCTCACTTCTCTTTTCTCTTTCCCCTCCTTCCTCACTGTTCTTTTATTTACTTTTGTATTTGTATTTTATAACAATAACCTAATAACAAATAGTAAAAAAAAAACCAACCCCATATAAAACACTGTTGTTTCAAATTAAACAGTGGCCTCCCTTAAAAAAACAAAAAACAAAACCCCCCTATAAATATGCCTGTTGTTTTGCTACTGATAATACTAAACAGTATTGATCTCAGGTGTCCCAAGCTAGTGGAGAAGACTACGAAGCTTTTAAAAAATGTGAATGTGATATTTTCAAATCCGTAGAAAATTCTACTTTACCTATTTCATCAATAAAGATGATAGAGGGTTGGAGCTTTATAGCAAGAGAGAAAACAGCGGCTGCCAGCTTCTGGGATTCGCCGTACCATTTGTCTGTCAACGTTGAGGGCTGAAGATTAATGAAGCGGCAACCCGCTTCCTTTGCCGTAGCTTTAGCAATCAAGGTTTTACCACAACCTGGAGGGCCATAGAGCAGCACTCCTGAAAACCAAAAACACAGAGTTAATAAATGCATTGCCATTCTAGATAGGAAAATATAATGTCTGCATTTTATACATGCTGAGGTTTATAAAACTCTCTGCAAAAGTCTCCATATCGGCACTGTTGTTTACAAGCTGCTCTCATATGCCATAAAAAGCTGACATTTATTTGCCCATTAATTTATGACAATGAGCACAAACTCAGAGGGACAGAAGCTAGCTATAGGCACAAAAATACTCAGGTAGTGAAAATATAATGATTCTGAATTTTAAGCCAGGCAGAGCTTAATAGAATTTCTTTCTATATATTAAAACAGGATACACAAAGAAGGACCTTATTTACCCAAATTAAATATTTTATTCATGTTGACATTATTTTAAGGTTCTGCACTGTCACTTGCTACTTATTTTACATTGCTGCCCTTTAAGCCATCCTATGAATTTCATTCTACATTGAAGAATGGGATACTAAGCAATATTACAAAACTACATAAATGTATGTATTTAACTGAAATGACATATAATTTGGAATAAATCTATTTTTCCACCTCTAAATTAATCTTCCACAAAAACAGTTTATTATAATTGGGGACAAGTTCAAGTGATCTTCCTAAGTTTATTTGTAAAACTGGATTTTGTCTTTATACAACTGGACCTTCTGCCCTTGAGGATTCTATTACGGTCAAGGTTTCTAAAAACATTAATTTGGACTTCTTCACATTACCTTTTGGTGGTTGTAGAAGTCTCGAATTTTGAAACAGATGTTTTTTTCTTATTGGCAAAATAACTGTGTCCTTCAGGTCTGTAATAACCTCATCTAAGCCTGCAATATCATTCCATGTCACCTAAGGCACAAATATAAGATTTTAAAAAATACTGAGCTGGTATCAATTAAACAGCTATGTTCTCAAATTAGGGATAAAGACGAAAATTATACTGAATCTTAAAGCCATTTGTATATTAAGCATGTGTCTCACCGAACAAGAAAAATAAAATAAAATATATCCCAGAGTTTGTGACTTTACTTTCTTGATGCTGGTTAAGATAGATTAGTGTTGGGAGGATTTGAATGCATTTATATAATATACCATGTGATTATGTTTGCTTTTTTACTGATTCTGAAGAAAGCTATTTTGATCCTTGATCCAAAAAATAGGGATGTTGGCCCTAAGCAGTATGGCTGTAAAGCATTAATAAGTCTTCTTACTAGTATAAATTTACTATTAATAATAACCTAATTTTAATATCCAACCTGCTCTTTTAATATAGACAAGTATCATAGTCATGGAAATTAAAACTCTTTAAAATATTTTATACTACACTTACAATACATCCAAGAATGTAAAATTCTTTATATGTAGCATTATTTAGCATATGAGAACATGACAGAAGTAAACAGAGAGAGAGAGAGAAAGAGAGAGAGAGTCCATACAATTATAAGTAACTGGATGTCCAATTCAGCTATCCAGAGCCAGATCACCTCTGGCTTTCCTTCGTGCAGATCTTTTAGGGAAGTAGAGAATGCACATTGTGGACAAACTTACAACAATATGTTTTAAGTCTGCATATCAGCAACACAATTGCAAGAAGGGGAATTTTTCCACCTACACTGAGACAGGGAAGAGGGCACTTCTTCTAGTATCACAACTAATTCTACTCAATTTTGACCAGACAAAGCGAGGCAGGTCAAAATCATATGGTTTGGTAGAGGAATCACTAATGGCCAAGCCATAAGAAGGCACCTTGGACCATTCCTCTCTTCAGGAATTCTTGGGGTTAAACTGAGTAGATGTTAAGTAAATAGCTGTTTTCCAATGTGGCCTATGGGATTTCAACCTTGAGATAGCTAATTGCAACAATATAACAATCAGCGTGCTAATTGTTAGTACTTGGTGCTTATACCTAATGCTTGAAATAATCTTTTTTTAAAAAATATTTTTTTATTTTAATCTTATTTGGGCAAAATATAGATACAACATACAATGAGTTAACTTGTGAACAAGATGAAATTACCGTAATTCAGTCTTTAAGAGTACAAAGAGAACTCTAAATACTATTTTGAAGCACGTTTGTTTGTTTTATTAGCTTCATGTAAAACTGCATGAATTCACTGAAGGAAAGTAAAACTCTTGATGCAATGTTAAAAGAAGCTAGTACACACAAAAAAGTCCATGAATATGCATGTCAGTTCTGATATTTAATGAACGTAAAAATAGTTATTACAGAATTTTGTTCCCTATTTCATACTATCCCTAAAAATCAAAGTTGTTTCAATTAGCTGCACAAGCATAGCATTTTATGCTCCAATATCTGAAAATAGTCATTATGCATTAGTTCTATCAAATAACATTTTGGGTTTTTGAAATGTGTGTGTGATTGCTAGTATTACTACTAACTTATTAAGACACTGTCTATATTGAGAGAATGGAAAAAAAGATATGGATCCCGGAAGTTTGGACTTCTATGATAACTGTATTACTTGGAATAAAAAGCCTGTGTCTGTCCCACTATGTTCATCTACTCCCAACATTAAGAAAATTCTATTAAAATACAGTTCCACTATAAATACAGGTACATCCATGTGAACATTTTGCCCTGAGATGTAACATTTTTACATATGAATAAGAAAGACAACACTCACGTGCATACTAAGAGGATCTACCAGATGTGCAGCAATGCTCATCTCATATTCAGAAAGCTTCACATTTTTCACACCTATTTGCTTCATCAACTTTTCTGCCTGTTATAGAAAAGCCAGAGTTCAGCAGTATGACCTCATTTGATCTTTTCAGATAATGTCAGAAAAGGGAAGGTTGCTATTAAGTAATACAGATATTCCGTTAATTGTGAGTTAGGAATTTGAAACAAGAATACCCCCATTCAAATTTTCATTTGTTTGAAGGTATCATCTCTTTGCTGAAAATAAAGCCAACTTGTTATTAGTAACAATACCTCAGGGTGTCTCTCCAGGATAATCAAAGGTTATTCAAATGCATTTTAATCTTTGTCTTAATACTCAATATCCATTTCAATAATAGAGCAATGTTCCATTTGACCATAGCAACAGCACTTAGATTTATATATGGCTTCACGGTGCTTTACAGCCCTCTCTAAGTGGTTTACAGAGTCAGCATATTGTCCCCAACAATCTCATTTTACCAACCTTGGAGGTATGGAAGGCTGAGTCAATCTTGAGTCGGTGAGAATCCAACCACTGGCAGTTGGCAGAATTAACGTGCAATATTGCTGTCTAACCATTGCGCCCACACTGCTCTTGCAGTCATAAATATTATAGGCAGTCATAAATATTACAGGTAGTCCTTAGATTGCGTCCATTCATTTGTTCAGTGACTGTTCAAAGGTATGACGATACTGAATGAGGGGCACTTATGGCTGGTCCTCTAAGTTCTGGACACCACAGCAAGCTGTGGTCACACAATCGCAATTTCATATGTTCCCCGCATGTCTTTCTACAATCGAAGCCAATAGTCAACCATACCAGCAAGCACTGCAATTAAACTCTTCGCTTTACGATGTTAATGGGGAGTGTCATTGCTAAGTGACACAGTCATGTGACATCTTGTATGCCTTTTAAACAGCATTTTAGAGACTCTTTCAAAATATGCAGACAATTTTCAGAATGATATATTCATTACTGAGGGACAGAAAATTATTCTCTAGCTATAAAGATCGGTGATGAAAAAAACAAAGAACATTTCCACACAGGCATAGGTGGGTTTTGTAAAACAATAGCTCCTAGTGAGTCTCCCTTAATTTCATATATCTAAAAAAAGCTAATGCAGGAAGACAGTCTTTCAAGACATTCTATCTCAATATAACAGATTATTTCCATGCAAATGATACAGGGAGGTCTTTGAATTTTCGTTTTAATGCAGAGCACACATGCTGCTGAAAACAACAGCTTGACTCCATTATTTTAGAACATTACCGTAATTATGAACAAAAGATTGTGTCTGCTTTAAAGCATAATTTTACACAGGTCTATGCATAAGTCAGTACCACTGAGTTCAATAACGTTTCTCCAATTCATGAACAGACAGCTTTTGGGGGGCTAAAGAATGAAATTTAATTCTCCTCCACTGCAATAGCTTGAGGACTAATGTAGACAGGGCAGCAACCCAGTAATTTAACTGACCTCTCTAAAAGAAAGAAAAGTGTGTGATTGTGTCTATTTTCTGGGTTGAGATTCAAGAAGCGTTTTTGGGTGCCCAAATTTTCTAAACATTACTCACAATGAGGCTTGGAAATTGAACTATGTTGTTTGGCAAGTGTCTACTGGATATTGGTAATATGTCACAGGGACTATACTAGCCCCAATTTTTAAAAAACTGTGTGAACTGATTTTCCTCTGTGCTTGTATATATTTGTTGCATAATTGATTATTTGGTTATTTTGTGAAATTTGTTTTTATTCAGTTGCACAACACCCAGAGTCAGAAGATGGCAAGTAAATAAATGAATAGGCAAACACAACAGTTGGTTTCTCACTCTGAACTCAGCAGCTCAAAAATAACTTTAGCTTTCTGTTCCTTATTTATATAACATTTGTATTTAAAATATTTTATTCATTACCTGCTTTTGGGCTTCTACTTTTTGCTTCCTTGTTGGATCAATTGCATCTACCATCCATTTAATTGTAAAATAGGTCACAGCACCAAATATTGTTAAGCGAAAAATTAAACCAACAACTTCATTCCGAGTTAGAGGACGAGAAAACGTTTCAGCATGTACCATTGTGCGTGTTTCCCTATAAATAATGGAGGAAAGAAAGTCAATGTGCATTCTCAGAAAATTAGGAAGCTTTGAAATATTAATTTTTGGTACATGGTAAACATTACTATACTTGATAGATTACTAACCTGCTTTTAATTCATACACAAGATGGTTGAGATTTTTTTTCATATATATGAGGAGTTTCACATACAAGAGATTTTGTACCCAAGATGGGTGTAATTCTGTTCCTTGTAAAGATAAAGAAAGCGATAATTAGTTATCACTCAAAATTTGTCAATGATAAAATCAAAAATGGCAAGCATTTTAAAAAAATGAATTGGAAAACAATAATATTCACAGGAAGCATCATACATGCCTTTATTTGTTATTAGTAACTCACTTGACTGTAGTCAAACCAGTAAGAGTCAATTTTACAAATTGACTTAAAATACTGGATTTAAACATACTATGAATATGCAGAATGTTCCATACACAGCACAGCTGGTCTTGGTTTCTTCCCAAACCAAAATATGGTATTTCAGATGTTTTATCCATATGTGTAATTAAATAGGGCTGATTCTAGTATGGAGTGAAATGAAGTTTGTGGATGGAGGAAGAGACACTGAAAGAAAACTGGATTGAGAGGGTTTCCTGGGTGATGCCATACATAGACCAGCTGTGAGAAAGGAAACAAACGAACAAAAAAACACTGGGAAGATATGATGCACTAAGTGGGGGAAAAAAAGAAGATTATTGGGAGACTGGGTTAACACGCCAGCTAGTGGGACTGGCCACTCTGGAACTCTGTCCCTTATTGCCAAGACAGTTACATTAAGATTAAGGAATAGATACACAGGCCAATTCACTGGCCCTGGCACCTGAGAAGAAGCAGGGAAGAGAATACAGTGGGTTAGGGGGAAGCAAGATACAATTAGATTGCTATCAGCTGATTTGATAAGTTGTCCCAGGGAAAAAGGTTGATAATTGCTTGGCTTCATTATTATGTATGAGAAAAAACATGTTTGACCTGGGAACTTTTACAAGGTTTTTGAAGCAGGCTAAAGATCAGAACAAGTTCTTTTTTTAATCTGCATTCACTGACTTTTATTGCACTTTATACATATTATTGCGAACCACCCAGAATTTCTATAACATAATGGTACACAAATACTAAAATCAAGTAAATTAAAATGAAGTTTGGGACATAATAGACAAGCCTCATACTAGCCCCACTCTATGCACCATAAAATCATCCAGCAGCAGCGTGGAACAAATTTCAACTAAACCCAAAACAAGTAAAAAAAAAATGGTTTTATTTCTGCCAAACTAGTCAATGCAAAATAACAGGGCAGAAAGTCGAGTATGTTGCGTTTTCAATTAGAAGCATAATTTTTTTTTTCCATGTACACTCTAAAATGTGCCATTTCTTATAAGTTTAGTTTCTTTTTCTCCCTCAACTGTTTCAAAGCTATGTTTAAGGGAGCAGCTTATCAGCAATGGGTTGAGGCTGTATGAAGGAATTGTAAACTTTGGAACAAGCTTATTTTGAGGTAAATGTCCCTAGCCTTTCATAGAGCCATAAAAACCTGCCTTTTTTGGTTATTTATAGGATTAAGTGGTTAGATGAACCTGTTCTGTTGTGACAGTGTATACAGTTTCAGCTATGTTCATTGGGTCTTCTTTCTATCCATTCGTTTTGCCTTTACGGTATTTTGTATGAAGTGCACTGTCCAGCATCACAATTTATGAATGGAAGAACCTCATATATTATTTATCTATTTGATATACAATGTCTGCTAACATAGAAAGATCATGGACGGAATCTCATTTATATGTTATAACATACCATCTAACTGTCCCAAAGCTGCTTTTCAAATAGGCAACTAACTTTTTGAGTTTTTTTTCTTTGAAGATGCTTCGCTTCTCATCCAAGAAGCGAAATGTCTTCAAAGAAAAAAGAAAAACCCAGAAAGTCCAACTGCCTCTGGAAAAAACACCTTTGGGACAACCACCACCTGGATGACTGAGAATCTCCATAGACACACCATCTAACTTTTCTTTCACCCTGCTTCAGAGCACAAAATTTTCACCCAATCATCTGCCCACCCCATTCCAACATCCTGCTGTAAATCGAAGTTCTTTACTGTTTCACAACTTCCTCCTTAGAAGCTTGAAAAAAAAGTAGGCATATGCTACTATCAGCTTAAAGTGCTTGCTTAAAAAAATAATCTCCATGTGATGCTGTCAGGACAAGCTGTATCTCTATTTCCACAAAAACAACCACTCTACCCAGCTACCCAACCATTTTCTAAAGACATTAGGCTTCCCTTGCTTCTCCTTCTCTCTGAATTGTTTTAAATTTTCATTCATGGTGGCCAACCTGATCCATTTACGAATCGGCCACCCCAAAAAGAAGCATCATACCTACTATCTCTCCAGCAACTGACCTCAATGCTATGCTGGCTGGAGAATTCTGGGAGTTGAATTCTGCAAGTCTTAAAGTCGCCAACTTTGGAGACCTCTGGACTAGTAGTATCAACACTATATAGTTGAAGAGGGAGAGAGTTTGGGAAAGTTAAAAAGAGTCAAGACGGGCTCTTCCCTTCTGGGTTATAGGTGTGGTGTAGGATACCACAGTGAACCCTAGACTTTTGAGAGACAAGTTATGAGAATGCTTGAATTGCAGGCTAATTCTACTAACTGCCAGGGGATTCGATCCCCACGGGCTCAAGGTTGACTCAGCCTTCCATCCTTCGAGGTGGGTAAAATGAGGACCCAAATTGTTGGGGGCTGACTCCATAAACCGCTTAGAGAGCTGTAAAAGCACTGTGAAGCAATATGTAAGTCTTATCGCTATTGCTTTGTATAGGTTTAATACAGGCTTTGCAGATCACTTTTAGGACGGGCTTACGAGCAGGAGGGAATAAAAGCAAGTTATTGATCAGGTGGGTATTTCGGTTAAGCAACATGACTGGGACTCCGCACAACCCTATTTAATAAAACAGGAGCCAAGCTGGGCACATGGAGAGACGGCGGGGGAAGAAGAGTCGTTATTTCACCCCATCCCACCCGCAAAAACCAGCTTACCGGGGGGGGGGAATGCTTCCCGGCTGTTTCCCAAGGGCTGCTAGCAGCGTGCACGGAGGAGGAAAGCCCGGGCACCCTCTTCCCAACTCGCCGGCCGAAACGCTCCCACCGGTTTCTGCAGGAAAGCCCCGCCACCGAACTGAACTGAAAGCGAAAGGGAGCCCCGAGGTCACCTTCGACGGGAATCGTCCGGACGCCGCTGCCTCCTCCGCACCGGGGCGACGGAAAGGACCGCGGCGCGTAAAAGGCGTGCGCCGGAGGGAGCGGGAGCGCGCGAAATTACTCGAGAAGTGTGGAGGAAACGGCCGTTCCCGGCAGGCGTCGCTTGGGCGTTCGGGCCGACGCTCAATGCCCTCCCTCTCGGACGCCGCACCTCTACCGTAAGGTTCCGCTTTTCAGAAGAAAAAAAGGGGGGGGGGAGTTTTCCTTGTAACCCTGGTCGAGGCGTCTCGTATCGAGAACTCGCTTTCTTCGGCTTGCGGGAAGGCGAGCGAGACGGTCTAGCCGGTCCTCAAAAGAAGTTGCCCTTTGAGGGTTAGATAGGAAGCTAAGGACGGCTCAGATTTAGCTTGCACACGATAGGGCTAGACGGGGATTTATCCATTCTGGTTTAACAATTCATTACTGTATGTCTATAAAGATTCTCAGTCATCCAGGTCATGATTGTTCTAAAGGTGCTATTTCCAAGAAAGTCCAGTTGCCTCTTGGACATGGCACCAAGTAATTGGAGTATCCATTACTATCCTGCCTTTCTTTGGACCAGCTCTAGGGAACCCGAAATTGAGTGACAAATTTACCTTATATTCACAGGCTAAGTTCAAGTTGTGGAGAGTACAGTATGTTGCAGAAACTCTGGTTTGTAAAGTTACCTTGTGCCTGACTAAGGGTGGGGAAACTGAGGCCAACGGTCTCTTAATCCTTTTATTAAATATGTATTACAAGACATTAATATCTCACCCCAGCTCCAGATGCTCCTTGGCCAGATAAAAACTCGTAACAATGTTGATAAGAATACAAGCACCACATAGCAGAAACATTGCAGAGACACATAATGGAAAACAGTCTTTGTTAGAAATATTTTCAAACAAGAATGGAGGTAGATTTGGATGTCCTGAATTTGCTTTCAGATGGGGCCCCCCAACCCCATTTCATGGCTGGGACCGGGCCCCAGCATGACATAAACCGGGCCACGCAAACAAGCAAAGCCCCATCTGTGGGATGCAGGCTCCCTCAAGTCCACAGAAAAATCTCAACGGAAACTGGTGCCTGGTGCCCAAAAGATTGGGGGCCACTGCTTTAAGGCTTTATTTTGATTTCATTGGAATGAGACATGAATCATTTGTGTGAGCTGCATGTGTAGGGAGAAGCCAATTCCAATAAAATGTTAAATTTTACACAACATTTACCTTTAATAGAACACTAGATTTGTATCTAGTCCTTTCAGGTATATCCTACTATGTTTGGACTCCTTATAGGATTATATGATAATGCCTATTCTCACATTTTGAGGGTCACTTTGTTGTAGTGTCTAAGGCATTAGATTAGAAACTGGGAGACTGTTGAGTTCTACTGCCCTGTAAGGCACAAAGCCAACTTGCTGACCAAATAATTTCTCTAAGCCCAAAGAAGGAAGCAGTGGCAAACCACTTCTGAAAAACCTTGCCAAGAAAACACAGGGACTTGTCCATGCAGCCTCCAAGAAACTGACATGATTGAATAGAAGAAAAATGTACTTTTATTATTGAATTCCTCAGATTGGGAACTAAGGCTGAAAGGTTATCCAAAAATATCTAACAAGTTTGAAGAGAAATTATCATTTCCAAGGAATAATATCAAGAATACTTGGATTCTGGAAATATATAATGAATTTCTTTTCAATTTTTCACATTTCACAGATTCATGATGTAAAGATGCTACTGTACTGGGTGAAGAATCTTGGCTACTCTGAAGAGACTTTGTTTCTGCACTTTGGGAGTAAGGCATATTTGCAGGCTTGTACTCTTTTTGTGTTTTCCAATTGGAAAATGGGTTTGCCTCCCAGAAAATGAATTGCAAGCTACAAGTAGTAAGATTAACCAGGGGATCAGTAGATCAGGTTCTCTAAGTTAAAGATGGCCTGCGAATACAACAGGTATTATTTAGTGAAGATCAAATATGACCATCA